TCTTTGCTCTTGGTGGCACTTACCACTCCCCCATCTCTTTCTTCAATCTCTCAGCTAGCATTTTTGCTTGTATTCTGTACTTGTATTAAAAAATGGCAACCATACATATTTACTTTCTCTTTTTGCAGCACAGACATACAGATATGGTAATGGTTAAAAATTTGTGGCGTCCTGGGGGATTGGTTCCAAGACTTATTCATAAGTCAGAAAAACATATTCATCATGTTCCCTCAGGAGAAACAGCAGCCAGTTACTTGGGAAACAGCAAAATGTCTCAGTCTGTATCAATTAATTATTTACATAAACTGGAACAAATGAGATGCAGCCCTTCTCTAGAGCAGCCACTCACTCACCAGGCAGGCTGCAACACATGCTCATATCTTCAGAGGCTGAAAAATACTGCCTGGTCTGAATAGAAGAGCTCAGGGATTTGCACCTCATGAACACGTCCTGATGCATGTTCCCTGCTACAGAGCCGTAGCTTTTATGGCTGCAGGGCTATTTCTCTTTCCTCCCCATCATTCCTTTCTAACCTCAGCTTTCTCCCAGCCAGGGTAACCTTTCTTGAACATAATTTCATCAAAACTGGCATGTTTCCGCAGAAAGTTTCAGTTTCAACATGACATCTTTTTAAAACTAAAACCATTCAAGTGGGCTATTACCAAAGAGCTTTAGCAATAAAAGCAGTCTTCAGTTTAAAGACAGAGAGTTTTACTATTGGAGAAACTTGCAAAGCTTTTTGAAGCCTTTCCCTGTAAAAAACAAGAGACCTCTTAACGAATGGCTAAATCCATGCTGGAACAGAAAAAGGTTTCTCTTTCCAAAGTCTTGTTGCCTCTGGACAGAGGAAAAAACCTCAGAGCATGCACAGTCATGGCATAGTCTTCATTTCTTGAGTGGATCAAATGCTTATATTTCACTTTCTAGTTAAAATCAAAGGGAGCAAGAGCAGAAATGGTGGAACTAGAACCTGGCCAGGACTAGAATCCCTGGCCAGAGGGGTTAAATGCCCCCCTTATCCATTAGCGGTTGCTGAACCTGGCAGCCTAGGAGAGGTGAGGCTGCCTCAGTCAACTGGGTCCAACTCGTAGCAAGTCTGAGCCTGTGGCCCTGGTAGGCCCCCACACAAACACACATATTCATCCAGCCACATAGCTCCACACATACAGCAACAGCACCAACAGCTCTCATCCTGATCCTCTCTCTGGCTCATGAGCATAAAGGTCCATTAGTAGATATATATATATATGTGTGTGTATATATATGGTAATGAATCCTCCCATATCATAAGGTGGACTTAAGCCCTTGGTCTGTCCAGCAGCTGGCTGTGGTTCCTTGTGCTCCCCTGTGGCCTTCCTCACAGACACTCACACGCACTCATGCACACACACACACTCAGTTACATGATGCTCAGACCTCAGTCTCACGTGCCGAGGCAGTGACACTCTAGATCTGCAAGGTGCCCCACAGAGCTGCTCTCATGGCTTACAGGCTCTCTCAGACCTGACCCACAGGGCCCACAACTCTCCTGTGCTGGGCCCAGGAGGAGCCAAGGCAGGGGATTATTTGGGTTCCTCAGGCTTCTGTTGTTTCTCTGTGCTCCTTTTTGCATGTGGAGATGAGCCTGTTATCTCTCAAATGAACGCTTACCAAGACCAGTCTCAGAACCAGAGGGAGAGCCTCCGTCCCCCAACTGTACGCAGCATGCAGCCACTGCTGGATGAAATTACTGTAGCTTTGCAAACAGTTCTAGTACTATGGTGCACCAGCTAATACTGCAGTATGAGTACACAGACTATACAGACTACCACATATGCTCACATTGTAAGCTTGAGCAGCAAGAGGATATAAAAATGTTAAAGTTGACCTGTCTCTCTCCCTCCCTCTTTCTCTCTATCAGGAACATCTTGAGGGAAAAGATTATATGAATACCAACGACCTATGGTATTCTACCATCGCCCACGATGTAAAATGTGAAACCTGTGTAGCTAATACCAATGATCAGACAGAATATGCAATGGTCAACATACACCGGAAAAAGCAAACCACCACCACCTCTGAAGACAACAATGAATATGATTATGTCCTGGTAAACTAAAAACTGACACTTCCTGCTGCAAGGGACCCTTTTGTTTGAATATTTAAGCCAGTAGCAGGCAGCCTTTCCTACCACCCTACCTGCTATGTCAGGTCTTCAAGCAAACTGGAGAGCATCTCTCTCATCTTACAAAGGTGCCAAGGTTACCAAGACAAATGTGCCAGCCAGTTTCAATGAGACAAATTTGTACATGAAAGACATGGACAGAGCACCAGGCTCCACTTAACAACTAAAGCAAGAAGAATCAGTCTAAATGCCAATGCCTTATTTTAAGGCTTAACAAAATTGTCATTGGAAATCTCAATAATGCAATGATAATATGCGTGGCTTTATATATATTGTTTTGCAATTTAAAAACTCACATACCCTCTACAGACGTGCACTTTATCTCTTTCAAAGTTCCTCTGGCCTGCTTGTGTGATTACAATGATACAGTACGGTTAATAGAATTAGGTTCTTTCTCATATTATCTTTTTTTTTCTTCCAATGTGATATTACTTTTCTCAGAGTGAGATCTTAAAGTTGGGACTAAATCAAAAAGACATTAAATTTTATGCAAAACAAAAATCCACCTGCTTAAAACCACTGTCACTTGCAAAACTAGCAAACTTGTGAAGACCTAGTGCTACAGTAGCTGCACTCCTGCCTTAGTAGAGGAGACCAAGATGCCTACATTGCCACACAACACTTCCAGTTCACCACCCTCCTGCAATCTCGGATTTGTTTTTTTGCCACACCAGAACATACCTTCCCACAGCCTCTGAAAAGCAGCATTTTTGGATGTATATTTACATATTCATATATTAACTGTTCAGTAAGGTTGCTAAACTGATTCAGAACACAGCTGCCTGTATTCTTGCTAAAGCATGTTTTTTGCTCCCCACCTCCACTTTTTTTCTATTAAAAGGACTTGAAAAATAACATTACGGAGAGTTCAAATTTGCAATAGGAGATGGAGCAACACATGACTGTCTGCCATGGGATTTTCAAGGGGTGGTTGCACAGAAGACAAGCTGAACTATCATCAGAACTAACTTTTGTTTTAATGGTCATTCCATCGCCTCAGTCATCTATGTATAACTCGGCCTCCCTACGTTAAAGTGAACATTAAACATTAACAAAACATCTAATTTAACCCTATTATGTCTCTATTTGGATGGTCTAATACATCTGACAATGTAGGGGAAACAACAAACCAGTTTGCACACACACACTCCCCTCCGCGCCACCCCCTTTTTTTTTTCTTTTTCTCATCTTTTCCTTCAAAGCATAACCGAAACTAAAAGTGTATTTGGAGGCAGAGGGTCAAGTTGGACACTTTGTGTTGACTATCACAATATCTTGCTACAGGTCATTCCTCTTCTTTCCAGTAAACTCTGGGGTAAAGGTGCCGGGTCAGAGGAGGATGGCTGTAAGGAAGCGAATGCTTGGCAGCTTATCTTTTATTCCTCAAGGCTCTTGCTGCAAGCTAAGGCATCACCATAGAAATAAAAGAATGATCATGGTATTATTTTTCAGTTCTTTGATACTGAACCAAGATTAAGACGTGTTGAAGTACAGATTCAGGTACCTTAGGCCAAAAGAACCGTAGGATCAAACATCATCTCAAAGGTAAACTGTCATTTGCTGAAGGCATTTCTATAGTCTACTGCTTTGGTGAGTGATCATCCACATGGATAAATATTATCCTTGCCAGGGAAGAATCATAAAAAATATCTCCTTTGATTTTTTGCTATATAGGATGCAGTAGGCACAGCATTTGCAGCTGTATTTTTCAAAAATGTACAGAAATGATATCCTTAAATGTTTAATGATACTAGTTCATGAAATGAGAATTGCACCATGAAAAGAGATATTTTTTTTCAGAGTCACCATTGCATCTCACAAATCAAAGTGTAATCAGAATCAGCCACAAATAGAGGAGCCATGTGATCCACTAATTTGGTGTAGACTGTTCCCCAAGCTCAATTACAGCTCAAGGTACAGCAAATACAGTTTTGAATGTATTGCTGTACTGGAGCTACTGAAGGAATGAAAATGATGGCATAAGAGTAAAAAAAATAATTTAATGCATAGTATAATTATCAGATTATTTCTTAAATATAGTAATAATATAAAAATACAGAAATACAATTTTCCATAAACTACTTTTCTAGGTAATACAAAAAGTTTCTTAAAATAAATGTCTCTATCCAATAGTATTAGCATTTATACTAGCTATACATGTTTACAATTACAAATTCAAACAATGCATTCACAACAAGAAGTTATATTTCACTAGCATGGTAGTGAATTCATCACATTTCTAGTAAAGCTAATGCTTCTTTGTAGATGTTGATGTGCCAGTAACCGTCATGCCACACTGGCCTACATGATAGGCCTCAGCACCTTTCTCTTAGCATCGGTCCATCTTGTGTAATCTTTTGTCAACTAGAACTAGTATTTGCTGCCTTATTAAGGCAAAAATCTTGCATCTGTTCATTTTTATCCCTGCTCTTGGGGCAAGAGGTATACTTAAGAGTCTAGACTATTTTTTCTGTGATTTTTTAAAATGCAGGTCATACAGCCTTTTCACAAGCCAGCTGTTGAAGTATGCAGCTTATTTGACCTTGTAAAGATTTCTCAGACATTCAGATGCATTAGGGAGCAATATGCCTCTTATCCATGGCATTGCTATATTCGCTTAAAATAAAATTACTAGTTCTGTGCCAGATGCCCTTTACTTGGCTATACAAACAGCACCACTGAGTTTTCCATTCATCAGAAATATTCTCGTATGCAAGTGCAACAGGACTTTGCCAAGAGCAGAAATCGACTTATCTACACGGCACTATGTAACACATTGATCATAGACCCTTGGAACATTTCTATTTCACATTATGAAAGAGGAAAAACTTCGCAGTTATTCCTTCTTTAGGAAGACTATAGGGCGAACAAGAGAATGATGAAATTCCCAGTTGACTGAAGCTAGCGCAAAGGGTTTGCATATAACTAAGGAAAATAAAAGGGGCATTTAAGTTTCCACATTGCTCTGAGAGGACAAAATAAAGGGAAAACATCATTGACATGAGGATAGCTGGAAGCAAGTATGAAGAATAAAGCAGTGCAGATAATTGTGGATAAGGAAAGAACCGAAGGGAAGTGCTCTTAAAGCAAGTGCAAGGAATGCGGAACTGATTCATAATGCAGGTCAAAGAAGAGCTTTCAAAGTCAATGGAACATGTACCAAGCACGGCACATGATTTTCACTAAAGCAGGACAGAAGAGGTCTGACTGCTATACCAGAACAATGGAGGAGGTAGCAATGTTCTAGTCATACAACACTGTTATAAACATACTGCATTTTCAGCTTACCATACCGCATCATACAGAATTTACAGAGCATCAACATCATTGGAAGTGTTTCTATGTAATGAATAGCTCCTAGCCCTTTACATTACTAAGAGACCTGGGAAGGCATTCTCAAACATTCAAGGGAGAAGTCTTTCCATCGTTCCTCTGAAAGTTAAAAAGAGTACATTATTAGCATTGAAATGAAACTTCAGTTTGACACTTCAGCATATTTTTTTCCTGTCACCTTTTACATTATTTTCTTTTCCTGTGAACCCTGTCAATAAATGAGGAACAAAACGTTGAGCATTGTAACTTGAGACCTATTTTTCTCTTCCTCCTTGCTAAGTACTGAGAAAGTAAAAATGAGTTAAGCATAAATATTGTTTGTACACTCTGTACTGTGATGTGATGGCTGAGGATTATCATGATGGCACAACTACTAAGTTGAGAAGTGGGGGGAAGGGAAGGTCTGTAAAGTTTGGCTGGACTCAGTAGCTGAACAGCTCTCATCATGAATCCTTCTGTCATCTTCAGATGAGAAAGAATCCTAGGGTACAATCTAAACATGGCAATTTAAGAATTTCCTGAATATTTTACAAAATATTTTACAATTTTCTTAATGTCTTTCTGGAAAAATTTCCCTCTTTCCAACTAAATACTTCTCCCTGAAGAAAAGTCATCCCTCTAATGCACAGCACTTACATGTTAATGTAAGAGAAGTTGGGTCAAGCTTTAGCTTCGTACATTCAGTTGGCCCATGATGAAGCACATCTTCTTCATCATAAATATTTTGACGTAAAATATTCCTTATAAACTCTGGATTCATTATGTTTTCCATAAATCCCTCTGTTGATGGTGGTACAGAGAACTCCAGCTGATAAAATACAGTAGCACTTTCATTACTGAAAGAGAAACAAATTCCAGTGTGAACATGTGCAAGTAACCATTTTAATACTTTTCTTTTGATATAGATGTTGGCACTGAGTTTTTTTAAACCTATTCTAAGGAAAAGTATTAGAAAAGAGAAAAGACTTCAAGCTTCTTGTTTCTTCTTTCACTTCCTTCTGAGAGCAGCTGTCAATATGAATGAAAGCTGGGCACACACCTGATGCCAATCTATCTGAAACACATTTTCAAATGCACAAAGGACAACTCACCATGTGCTCCGACTGGCCAGGATTTTCCACATTTGTACTTAATTAGAGGATAACAATAACATCAGAGGTGATACAAGACTGTGTTCATAACTAGCTGAGAACCTGCCAGAAGTTTTGCTCTCCTGATACCAATCGCTGGCGCAACCCAACCAGGGTTTCTAACCCATTTTCCGGAGTGGCTTATGTAAGTCACTCGGCTGGAGTCCATTTCATCATTTTGTTGCTTCTTATCCATCAAAAACACTAAGTACAATCAGACTATTGCACTTTACCTAACAGAATCTTCCAAAAAGAATCAGAAACACTGACATTTCAACAGAAACATCAAAAAGAAGTTGAAATGGCAAAGAGAGAAAGAAAGGGTGTAGAGGGACAAAGCGAGAAAGAGAGAAAGGGAGAGAGAGAGAGATAGAGAAGGCAGGGAGAGAGAGAAATTATGCAATACCTACACAGAACTTCAGGTTTGTACTCAACGTCCTAATCATAATTTTTAGCTGAAACACTAAGTTACAACGCAGTCATTTGATGGGGCAGGTATATCCTGGTCTGGCGGTCCTTCAGAGCACCTTCACCGAAGTACCCTCAGGACAGCCCCTTGCCCCAGCCCATGGGGCGTCTCTCTACCCTTGCTCTCTCAACTGCTCAGACTTCTCAAATTCTCTACTTGCCGCAAAGTTTTCCAGTCCTTCTTATTCCCTTTTTTCACACTGCTTTCTCATAAATCCTTGGAGAAGCTGTCTGCCCCACTTCTCTGCAATCACTCTGTGGCAAGAGCATGCTAGAGCTGATCTTTCCAGCCCCACTTTTCTCTCTTCAGCTCATTCTCCCCTTTCATTGAAGGACTGTGATATCTCCATAGCCTAATGCACTAGTTTCCTAAACTCCTAAACATCCTAAACTCCTTAGCCTTTCTCTAGCACCATTTTCTGCTGAGAGTAAGATCTTCCCTCAGCTCTAGGGTGAAGTTTTTCCTGCCTCTGTAAGGTGGATGGAGGGCTTTTTGCCTTCTTTCTGTCACCACTCCTCTCCTGTCCCCATCAGCCGAGCTTCTCCTGCGCGTGCAGGCACCTCTCAGCTGGGCAAGTCTAACTAACCTCTGCCTTCTTCTCTGCCTCTAAATCCCACTCTTCCAGTCTCTCCAGCATACTGCTGCTTTGAGATTTGCTCCTGTTTTGCAAAATAAAGTGGGCAAAAAAATCCAAACCAGCAATGCAATATTGTGGTTTTGTCTTCCACGTCTTGTGGGTCCCTGTTGCCTTTAAGCTCTTTTGGAAACAAAATGAACTATTCTGCATCCCCGTGCCCCAGAGATCCTTTTGTATTTAGTTAAGATGGTTTAAGCTATGTTGCTTTCAAGTGGTTCCAGTGGACCATTTTTCTTTTAATAAATTTCCTTTAATTATACTGGTAAGGGTGGGGACTAAATACAGCAGATTCACAGCCCAAAAAAACACGTTATTGTAATTATTTGTTACTGACAGCACTCTTTACACTAGAGAATCCTTCTACCAGTTTTCATAATCCTTATTAACCATTTCCCAAACATCCTATTTTTTTCAGATTTAAATGTTATGTCTTATATAGGCACACGTGTGTGCCTTATCAAAAATTTATAAATATCAAATGATTTTCATGGCAGAAATCACTTACCTGAATTTCACCACTTGAGCTGACCTAAAGTAACGTCCCAAAGCAGGAGACGAACTATAGACTTCTGTTAACTTGGAGAGAAAAAAGAAGAAAAGAAAATATATATTTCTTCCATTTGCTATCTCTTTTCCACATCAAAGAAAGGACAGTGAATCATTCTTTTAAGGTGTTGCCCAGGGTATAAACACAGGTGTTGAATGTCAAATGCCAACAAACATCTGTCCTGGAAAAGGTACGCACACAGGCCTTTTGAGCCTGACAAATGAGTTAACCTCTGTATCTGAGTGATTACTATATTACCTGAACACAATAGAGTCATTCAGGCTGAGCTAAAAGCACGTGATCAAGTTGCCAAATCCAATTTATTTATTTATGGGTACGAGAAAGCCCTTCTACTGTTACTTTATAGAAGGAAGGGTCTCCTTTCACAGTAAGTCTAAACCAGCACTGCCACGCCTGCTGAGCTTAGGGAGACGTGTTCAGAGCCATGGTGACTCAAAGGAAATGACAGCACTAAATGAGCTCGTCATCACACACTTGTGGGAAAACACCACAGAGAGGTCAGGCTAGATGACCTCCACCGGTTCCTTCTAAACAAAATACTCTGTGAAGAGTGAATTCCCAAACATTATTAAAATTTAGGCAAAACTTTAGACTTTTTAAATCTCTGCAGCTATTCATATGTTTAAAAGGAGGCATTCCCCTTCCTCCCGCCGCTGAATCAGGACTTTAAATGATATTGGAAAAAACAAAGCTCAGAATCTAACCTTACTTTAGTAAGTTATATGAACTTTCAAACGACTTAGTTGCTGTACAGAATAACAGCAATTTCTTAAAGAGAAAAATAATCAATCCCTCTCACAAGCAAAGTTAGCCTAGCCAAGAACCATGTCAATACATACCCTCTTAGTGATGTCTTCAGAGAAAGTGTGTGGAAGACCACACTTCAACTTGAATTTTCCAGAAAAACTATGATAGTTTCCACTGTGTAGTATTGCATCAGGATCCCAATAGTCATCCTCATCTGTATAAACAGCTAATATCCAAAAAGAGACAGAAAGAGAGGAAAAATTGTAGTTAATAGAAATAGGAAAAATACCTTCTTGATGTTCTCTAGAGTGGCTTTCTCACGAATTTCCTAAGTAATAATAGTCTAGAAGTCACAGAGAAAATGCCAGTCACCTAAAGAAAAGCAACAGCACACGGAGGCCCATGATCCATGAAACTGGCAGCTGTCTGCTGAAACAACAGCATTCACATGTGGAGCTGCATGTCTACCCAAACAGCTCCACAGGTGTACACAGCTGTGAGCGGGTGCTTCAGGTGGCCATCACAACCACAGCAGCAGTGAGCCATTACACCAATAGGGATTAACAGACAAACCAAAAAAATTGAGTAACGTAGCATCTAAGCTGCTGTAATCCTAGGGATCTCCTTATAATGGTCACTGAAAATCCACCATGCATCCACCACTCAATACACAACCCGCCTTCTGCACTCAGCATCCAAGTCTGCAGCAGTCAGCTTGCAGGGTAAGGGATGCTATCATTCTGATATGCATTGGAAGATGAACCGAGAGTAAGATACTTACTAGAATACAGAACTAGGCTGATGAGAATTACCAGGAGGAACACTATAAAGATTGTGGCTATGAGCATCCATAGTTTACACTTCCAGAAAATTACATTGCTGCACAATTTCCAGTGATCTCTGATCTAGTTAAAAAAAGGAAAGTGAAAACTGATTAATGAAATAAGGCAGGGAGAAAGTGTTTAAATATGGCTCTACTCTCACTTTTAGAAAACAACAAAAATCTTAAAAACCAACCAAACAAATCAACCAAAATAAACAGAGGAATGGTCTCATTGTTGAGCAATATTCTATGTGAAAGGATCCTACCCTTAAGTACTGCTGTGGGTAGGCATACAGACCTGTAGAATACAGTGGACATTGACAGGGAGTCAATTACTTGAAAGAGGCCCTCTTAATTCCCTACTTACGCAGAATTTCCGACTCTTGAATCGGCCATAGAGCTAAGGTGCTACAAAGGTACTTTTGGAGTTTTCAAAATTATTTGAAGCAGATTTCTCTTTATTATTATTATTATACACAAGCTGTTCTTTCAAAGCTTGCCATCTTTCCCAACAAAAAGTGTGTGTGGAGGAGTTTCCAGATTATCAGCCTCAGTGATATTGATAGTATCAGTGACATTGATAATATCACCCAATGCAAGTGGAGTGCTATTCCTTAAATGTTATTGCATTAAGGAACATTCTGTCTTTTTCTTCAAAAGGCTGAATATTTGAAGATGACTGTGAGTTTTTACCAGAAATTTTATCACAAATCTCACATGTGTTAGGAGATTTCTCAGGAGAAATCGTGCCTGCAGGCATGTTCATATAATGGAGTAAGCACAATTCCTGCCTTTCATTTATTTTTTTATAGGATTTGAGGCTGAGTCTTTTTTTAGTTACCCCAGCACAATCAATTTTAGAAATACACTTAAGTGGCATAGCAAAACAAACAAGAAGTTCCAAATATTTTTTTCCACAGATAGAAGACTGCATGAAGGGCAGAAATTGTTACAAAAGACATAGACCATGCTGCCTCGATTACGCTCCACCTACTGTAAATCCTGACTTATCCTCCCTATTAACACTATGACCTTTCTGAAGTCATTATCAGGCATGGAAAAGCACGTGGTGTGGGTTGTCAGGGCCACACACATGCAGAATAGCAGGAAACAGCTTGCTAGCTGCGGGCCTTAAGTCAGATTACCTTCCTTTAGTATTTGAATGTTCTAATAATGTAATATTTTTGTGAATAACTTTTTTTCTGATTTAATTGAGGTTCACCACAGGTTTTTGGGTGGGTGACAGATGCACAGAAAGAGAAGAGACACCTAAATATCCCAGAATCATCATTTCTTAAGAAGAGTGGGCAAAAAAACCCTCCAAGTGCTCTCTACAGATATACCTCTGCATGTACAACTCCACTTTGGCGGAGAATGATGAACAACTGGCTGAATATGGTTTATCTTACAGCATGCCTTTGCTGATTTATTTGATATTCTTTTTTAATGTATTGGAATAATGAACACTCAATTTAGTATTTAACACTAGCATATCATTTTGTATCTGACAAGAACACTAGCTATTGCCCAAACTACAACTACGAAATCAGCTATCGTAATAACTGCCTGTGTCAGCCTGTATCAAGCCCAAATTTCTACTGAGAATTCCAGCCACATACTCAGACCCTCACGAAAACTCAATTTTTAATCAAGCAAAGTGAGTTGGTTTCAAGGAAACATTCAGCTCTTCAAACTTCCCTCTCCTAGCTGGCCAACACCCTCTGGACATTGCTCACTTCATTGCAAGGCTGCTGGGAACGAGCAGAGAGGAAAACCTCTCTACACTGCACAAGGCGGTCATTCTTATTAATTTTCTACCAGAGCACAAAGCAGACCATAACAATTTTCCAGCAATCACTATGGGATATGAAGCCAAACACCAGAATCAGCAGTAGACACAGAGCCCTAGTGAAGACTTACAGTTCCGGGAAGAGGAAGGCTCTGAACCGAAAGTTTCTCAAGAGAGCCAAGCTCAGATAGCTGACCCCTGTGTCTGCTCCACTTGCTCTCCCGTTCCTCTTGGCATTCCTCCAGCACTCGTGTGGCTTTCAGCAAGTGGGTCCAGCCCACCGCACTGAAGGAGAAGTAACCTTACCCTGGCCACTCCCACACAGTATAGCCCGGGCTGCGGTTTTGCTTTTCGTGGGAAATGAATCGGCTTGTGAGGAGGTCTAGCCTGGCGGACTCTGCTACAGCTTTTCCTTCTGCCTTTAAGTAAGTGGTTAAAAAAAAAAAAAAAAAAAAGGGACTGTAGCACAGTCACCTGTTAGCTAAACACCATTCTTCTGCCGACTTTACTCTGTTCCCTAGCTTCAAGCTAACCTAAATGCTAGATGCCATATTAATTTAGGTTTATGTGTGGTCTGTTCATACAAATGCATAATTGTCAGCACCCACAAATTACCCAGCAACGAGAAAGAGACACTAACATGGCTTTTAAAGTCTGCTGCAGGGCATCCTATTCTTTGGGTGCTGTTTTCCGATTCATTTGTTCTCAGACAAAACCTATTTAAATACAGGTTTTAACATTTCTCCTTTTTGGTTTTGAGCCCACTCCCACTAACATATAGCAAAAGAAAGCAAAACTCAAGAGTGCTAAATATAACTTCATTTATTGAGTTAAAGGTCACAAACAGCCAACAACAAAAAATAACAATTCTCAAAATCCTATTCTAACTTTTTTTTTTCACTAAAAAGAAGAAAATAAATACATCTAACATTTCCAACATTTACTTTCAGGTGAGCAACATATCCCCTTCTTTCAAACAACTAGCAGTCCCACAACATGTTCCTATGAAGAGTCACTTCATTTGCTGTATAATATTTCCCAACGGCTCCATAAGCATCAAGTGAGTAACCGAAATTCCTACCTTTTCTGTTGCAGCCGTTTGTGAATTTAGAGGCTCGCTGTGGTCAGTCTCTCTTTCCTCCCCATTAAGCTCTTCTCTTTGTAATTCAATATCCTCCTGCTCCCGCTCAGGGCTCTGCGTTCTCATAGCTTCTGCTCCTGTGCGAGGAACTTTGCTTCTGAAGTAAGCAAGGAGATAGCTCATTTCCTTCTGGTTTCTCGGCGCAGTTATGCCCGTAGCAGTTCTGGTATGAGGCTGGAGACGATAACAGCGAGGCTTGGGATAGTTTTCGCAGGAGTGATCTTGAAACACTCATCAGAAAGGGGAATTCCTTAGAAGGACAAATACGTATTTGTCCAGCACTAGCTGCAGAGAAAAGGGAGGGGGAGGAAGTATCGATTTGCCCAGTCTCCAGGACTGCAGCTCTCATGCTATGCAATACTAGGTTTTCCAGTTTGTCTGCCTCGCCTTACCAGCCCTCAAGCATGAGCAGATGAATAAACCTCTGGCAACGTTGTTATTTGCTGAGGCGGTTTAGAAAGGAACCGTATTGCTTTCCCTGCTGTTTTCAGCTGGGTCAGTGAAACACTGTTGCTGTTTATCTGGACAGATGTGCCAGAGACATGGTTCTGAACGGCATAAACTGAGTTAGGAATTGCATAGCTTATGATTTGGCCAGTCTACAAAGAACTTACACTACCTCTGAATACCTCTAATTTTGATCTCCTTGTATAGTCTCTTGAGAAATGCATGCCATGCTATGAATTTTCTCTCTCTGGCTATCATACAACCTAAATCAGATGTCTGGTGCTAAGGAAGCGCTTATACCTATTTGCATCCCACCCAAACGAAGGCAGCCATGGTGTTGAGACCTGACCTGCGCTTGCTTCCCAAATGTGCTTCCTATGATAGCCCGAGTCACTCATGACAGCTTATCAGAGCCAGAGACTATTTTCTCTCTCTCCCTTCCTTGCTCTGCCCACCCAGTCTCTTGCATCTTACCACCTCCCATTTCTCCTGTCCCAGCTCCATCCTCAGGGCTCTCCTTGCTCCTCACAGGGCACCTCTCTTCCTCTGGATCAAGAGAGTCTAGCACATGGCTAGGTAACTGCCCTCTTGCTCCTTTTCTTACCCCACCACAGAAGAGAACAGAGCTTTTATCCAGTTCCATCCCCAGCCAGCTGAACATCCCCTCACAGCACGACTCCTTCTTCCTGCCAAACACCAAGGATACTTCCCCACCTCGACACCCCTCACCACTATTTTCTTGTTGCGAATCAACTCTGGCTGCCAATGCCTGGCCATTCCCCTGGTGTGCAGATTCCTGACTCAGGTAACACTCATCAAGGCAAAGGCACTCCAAAGAGCTGAGCACAGGGCTTGGTTTCTTTCCGCAAATAAAAAGAAACAAAAATTCCATGTCCCACCTTCGGTTTGGGAGGATCCTTAAAATGACTAAGCATGGAGCCAAGCAGTCATCAAGATCAGAATGGTTCTCCGGATCCTCACGACTTTACTTGGGAAAAATCTTCACTTGCAAAGTCTACCTGCTGGGTTTTTGTACTCCTGCTGGAGATGAGCTCCATTCATTTAATTCCCCCTCTTAGTAACAGAGCTTACCTTCTTATTGACTTCCTATAAAACTGTCTGAAACCAAAGGACTTCTTCTAAGTCAAATGAGTTAATGTTTATAGATCTGCACCCAGCAAAAGCCAAAGTCCATTTACTTCAGCTCTGTTTAGCCATACAAACACCTGAATTTCTTGCCTGAATTGAGATCTTACTGGATGCTTTACGTGAATGTAAACTGACAGACTTCTCACACCTGGAACTGAGAAGCTGTTAAAAATATGGCAAGCTGAAAGCTGATCTGAATTTTCTGGTCTATGCTCTTATCTGGAGTAGTACATCACGAAAAAGACATCTCAGGTTTCAACACCAGGAACAGAAACAAACCTTAAATGTGTGTTTTAGTAAGAGAAGCAAACTTTGGTTCAGTTTTACAAAAAGGAAAAAACTCAGAGGTACAAATGTAGCTCTCGATCACTCCTAGGAATTAGGAGTTTCAGAGGCACAATCCAATTAATAAAACAGAGCCACTTTCTTATTCAGCGTTATTTATTAAAAAGGCGCATTTATTAAAAAGAATGACCGAGTAATCTTTAGAGATACTAAAATACCCAAAGAATATAATTTGCATATAGCTCATGCAGTATTGACACAAGCGTTTTTGGAGGAAACTGCCCAATACTAGCTCAAGAAAGGAAAGACAAGTAGTCTCAGTTTTAGATACAGGAATCCTACTGCGTGCATATTAGTGCCATCTCATTCAGTGCCTTTCCCACATGCTGCTAGAAGGCGGGTCTAAAGCTAAGCAAGAATCACATGTTTATATACCACTGGGACAGAAAAAATATACTGTGGGTAGCAAGGGGTAATATTCAAGTTGACAGTTTCTTCTCCTTTTTCTTTTTTTTTTTCCTTTCTTTCTTTCTTTCTTTCTTTCTTTCTTTTTTTCCCCTCACTGTAAAGGTGAAACACAAATCCTCCCAAACACTGAGCAGAAGTTTAAGACTGTCTGGGAAGTGCAGACAGATATTCTATTAAAATGAATGCCACCAATCTTAAATCTCATAAATATCCTGGGAAACCTTAAATCATCTAGGCTAGGACTAATCAGCTCTTTAGGAGATCATTTCGTCCATTGATGGATTTATGGATTTACTATTAAAGGAGTGATCCTGACCGAGAGAGATGGCTGTCGCTTCCTCCAACACTTTCTTTGAGATTAAGGGCTCATTCGAGCATATCCGACCATATATATATATATATATATATATATGTATATTTAAATTTCTCTCTCAGTGCCAATATGGCCATGCAGTCTAGAAAGAAAGACCTTTCTTCTGGCTAGGAAGAAAGACTGGACAAAAAGGTCTGATCCCAAAACTCTGCTCACTGAAGACCAAGGATGTCAGGAAAAGCAGTGGGAACCCATCAGGAGGCTGTCCATACAGCACACCAGAGCAGGAGCTTGGGAAATACATTTATCACTCATTGCAGACATCAGGCACATTTCTCCCTGGACAGGTCTAGTCATAGATCTCTACTTTAGTCAGGTGAGCATGAAGGTTCTGGCATCATATTAGGGTGCCACCAAGGCATTGGTCTCCTACTGTCACACAGGCACTAAGCTCATACTTGTGTGAAGATGGATGCCTCACAGCACAGGGCCTCTACGATCATTACACACAACTTGAGTACAAGGTGAACCCTCTGCTGTTGGGGTGAGAGGAACAAAGGAAGAAATATGTACTAAAGTCTTGTTGAGACCTGCCTCAAAGTTCTATTTGTAAGAAAACTGTGCTGGCTTTGCATGATTTCACTGAAGTTTAATATTAAGGAATTAACTGAAGTATATATTATTACCACAATCAGCTACATAGATAAATATGTCTATAAAGTCTATAAGGAGACCAGAATATGACAGTTGTGCAAGTTCTTGACATTCTGTTGGAGAATTAGTAATTTGTCAGGTTTTGAAGGAAGCTCTTTTTTTTTAGAACTTGGTTAAAACATACATAATTTTCAATACATTTGCCTTATACAATTCCCTTTTGCTTAATTAAACTGAGTATTTCCTTCCTCTTATTTAAATATAATTCCAAAGAAACTAAATGATGCTTTTTCAGTCCTTTAAAGAAAGTTTCCTGCACCCTAACATACCGGAGTTAAGTTTTTTATGGTTTTAGAAAATAACAGGAGACAACCCAAAAATCACAGCCCAGAAAGGAAAATTCATGCAATAGCAGCATCACTACAGAATGAACTCACTTCAGTTTTGTGCATTACACTGATAGTACTATTTGTATTTTGAATAAAACAGGTAAGAATCATTCATATTTAGAATCCTGTAACATCATCAAGGGAACATATGTGACTGTATATGGGATATTTATATCCTTATATTTGTCATATGAACACACATACACATGGGGGAAAGGAAGGGAGGAAAGGACAGATCTCAGATGGAATGAAGGAAGAAGGTTGCTAAAGGACAGGTTCTAAACTATCTTATTTTCTATTTTTTAAAGGAAGCACTGTTTCTGCTGCTGGGAATAATGAATCCAAACAGCTACGTCCAGGTGAAGAGAAAATGACAATTTCTGTGTCAAAAAAGTGCTTTTTTTTCCCAACAAAGAAACAGCCAATGGCTTTTCTTGTTCTGCTGCCAGAGATGTATTTGATAATTGGCATAGAAAGCAGCTTCCCCAGGGAAGGTTATCTGCATTTTCTCTTCGGCGCATCAGACTGCATTCTGATGAATCCAGTCATAAAGTGCCGTCACCTTCGTGTACACTCCCGGGCGATGGCGCCGAGCACAGCCTTCACCCCAGCTTACAACGCCAGCGAGGTACCAGCTATTTCCCTTTCCTGTGCAAGCCAGAGGACCTCCAGAATCTCCCTAAAATAAAGGATACATTAGCACAACCCCCACCACATAACACAGGAACAAGTGTTAGGTTATTTAGGGACTCTAAAATCCATGCTACACTCTTCCCCAAATTACAGTGTAATATTAGCACCTTATTTCCAGAATGAATGTACCTACCTAGATATTAAGTTCTTTCACCTTGTTTTAATTTATAAGAGCAGCACACTAATCAATATAAAACAACAGCAAGAAGGTAAAGGTGAAAAAGTTACTCATGATGCATTACAGGATTCATAAACTATCTGATCATAGAGTTCAAGAGAGAGAGGAGATAGGGATAGAAAGTAGGAACTCTGACATCATTTTGCCATAAATTGTTCATATGTTTAAGACAGTACTCTTATAATGTACTTTAAAATTGAAACAGAAAGAGAAGTGTCTCTTTTTGCATTCAAGTCTGCCACCTGCCCTCCTCTCTCTCCCTCTCCCCGCCCCGATCCATAAAAAGGCATAATTAAAGCATAATTATATGTTGTTAGCAGTTTCATAATCAACCTGTGGCTACATTCAGGGGAGGAAAGGAAAACAGACTCTAGCAGCATGCATTGGCTTCTCAAAAGAAAATTCAGCTCTGCATACAACAACATGGAAAAGCAAAAGTTGCTATTTATCTCAATCCGCAGGATCCAGAGACATTTGGGTTCACAAATGCTTTGTGACTCTCACTGCTTCAACCTTCTATGCCTTCTGCGAATGGAAGAGTTCACAGACCTGTGAACACTTACACGTACTGCTGATCTCTGCAGATTTTCTTTATGCACATAAGGCAGCCTCCAGGCTGAGTCTGGAATTTGTTTGTTCTCACCAGTTGAAGTTAATACATGGGAGAGGAACAAGAAATCCATGAACCTATTAAAAAACAAGTCTCTGTCACCCAGCCAAAAGTTGTCTAGGGATAAAGAAAAGTTGCCATAACAATTCCTCCTCTCTCCTTGGCTGCTATCATACTGCTAAATTTAACCATCCAAAAAGCTCTTCTTAAGGCGTCTTCAGAAAGGAGGCTGAATATTCTGGGTGGCCAGGAAGCTCTAGAAGACGGGAGTAGCTGTATGCAGAAAGAGGAAGGATCCTGAACAAAGAAACCATGCAATACCAAGAACATTCCAGAGCGATAAGGAAACCGAGTGTGAAAGTGCCCGTGCTTGATTTCTTACTGTAAGTATCACATCATCTAATGATGAAAAGTGCTTGGAAGCTTCACAAAACTTGTGCAGTACATGAACAGTTTTCACGTCCACGAAGAAGTGAAACAAATCAGGATGTCCAAAACCCTGAGACTATATTTAGAGAGCTTCCAGAGCACTGTGGGGATCTCCTAAAATGTCACCAGCATCCAGCACCACACAGAAAGTATGCTAGACAGAGAGGGAAAAATAGCACAGTCACTACCAAGATCAAGAAGTTCAAGATGCAGAGGACAGGAACAGAGCAGATTGTGTTGAAAAGTCGTTTGATTAGTATAGAACCTAGCCGAACTGGTTAATATGTCCATCTTTAAACTTAAGGCCATTTCTGAGGCAACACATTTTTTGGAGGAACATCAAGCCTTAGGCATATCACAACACATGTCTTAACAAAACAATTCCAAGGCCTAGGGCTATATACAAACAACATGTTAACAAAAACATTAACTCATGAACCTGATCTTGGAAACTACAGAAGGATCCTATAAGTCTTTTGTTGTGTGTTGGAAGGCTGTTTGAGCTATAACCTTGCAAAAATTGTTCTATTATATTAAATCGGCAAAAAATACTCTTAAATAAATTTCTAACAAATTAACACAAACTAAAATCAGTAATGCATTTCTCTCCACCTTAAAAATAATCGGTATAATGACGATGTTTTAGTATAGAAAGTAGATATTCCTCACATGTTTAAACACTGACGAAATACACAGTGGTGTAACAACTGGAAAGGTGAAGGAAAGCAAGATAGTTAAGTATGTCTAAAACTAGTTCCTTATTAACTGTGTGTGCAAACAGATTAGGTCATGCAACTTGTGACACAATGATGTAATCAAGACTTGTTATAATATACATGATTGAATATATGAAATTAATAGAGGCAGCATTTCAACTGCCTTTACTGGATTTAGCTTACCTTGCCGTTTGCATTTTTTGCAACTATGCTATTCCTAACATTGTTTTAACATTATATTAACTCCCTCAGAAATAAATGAATCAAGATGAATAGCAAGAATAGCAGATATTCTTCACTTTAGTTCCTTTTATCCTCACATCTGTTTTTTAATAGGAAGGTTAACTTTGGAAAAGAAAAAAAAAAATCATTTCAACTGATTTTACCCCTCGTCTAGCAAACAAACATTTCGCAGGAGATTCAGACATCATCTGTGCCAAATGTCCATTCCTATTTTGGAGAAATTTATATTCTGATACACTCAAGTCATCCTGATTTATTACTGAGAGGAGGAAAACATAAAAAAAAAACTAACACTGGACGATTTTCCATCAAAAGCAAACATTCTTTCATAATTTCTTCATAAGTCCCCGATTACCTGGCATGCGTCAATGCCACCATCAAGATTCCCAGCACACAGCATACGCGATGTGATCAGATCATCATACAGTTTGTTACAAACACTTTGGTTAATTATTTTCACTCTAGCTTCCTGCAGTGTTTTGGCAAGATGGCCTAGAAAAATGTAAGTGTTGCAGAGGTGATAGTAGTAAACATTTTTAACAGAGAAACCATGTATTGAAACAGAGGAGAATGGCTACAAACTTAAGATGCACCCAACTAATGGCAGAAGAGTAATTCGCCTCCCGTCAATTGCTGCCTGTCCTCAGCTTGAGACTGTAGTCCACACTAGTTCTAAACACAGTTCTATGCACTACCAGGATTGACTTTCTACTAGTCTTTATCCTTGTTAGCTTGTTCTGCCAGTCAGAATTAGAGCCACGCGAACTGTAAGCATATTGTGACATTTTATACAATATAACTGGTTTTGAATGCCATTGCAAATTGTGCCCAAAGCTTTTTGTTCTTCCATAGTTTTGACCCAAACACTGCTCAAGTCCTAGTAAAGGAAATGTCTGAATTTGCTCCCATCCTCCCATGTCCTAAAGAAGGAACTGAGGAATGAAGCTGAGAGGTAAACACCACCACCACAAAACAAAAATGTAAGTCGCAAGTGATGATAGGGGCTTGGTTCTGTACTATTGTATGGGCACAAGTTATCATTGTGAGCTAAACATCCTGAGTCATGTTTTGACCTATCAGTGAATATAATCCTCTCAATATCTGCATGTTCAGGAGAACAGGTTGGTTGGTTGGGCATTAGGGTCTGGGACGAGGGGGATGGGGATGAAATAGGCAAGATGAAAATATAGGCGTTTATATGTATCATTATAATGATTTTACTTACGTAATTCTTTTAAAAGCAAGACTGTATAAGAAGGCATAATTTTTAAAGCTATTTGAACTTTATTACGTTATTGCGAGATTATCTTAAATCTGAATTGCCCATTTAAAAGGTTTATTAAGAAAGCCAGAGTTACCATGGTAGATGGCTTCTGATCAAACATGAGAATTAGGATGCAGGGTGGAGACCACCACAATTCTGGGGAGCTGTCTATACCCAAGTCTAAAATCTGGCTTGGGTTTGATGCAGCAATCGGGATGAGGAACCTGTGGACTCTCCCACTGCGCTCCTCCAAATCCACCTGCTCTCCCTGCTTTCCCTCCCCACTGTAGCTGGCTGGTCCAAGCTGTGCAAGCAGAATATTTCACAGGAAAAACTAAACAAGCTACATATTTCTTTGCAGTTATTTCTGCAAACACCCTCATATTGTCAAACTATGTTCTTAACCGTGAAGTCTTTCCTTGCATTAGTTTGAATGCCGTTTTTTCACATTCAAGATGACTTACAATCTATTCCCCAAGCAAAGTGAGCCTTGAGCATAAAAGGGAACACATTTTTGTAAATATATGATGATTTGCTCTTCAACGTCCTGCAAGAGCATCTTTGATTCCCATACAGAGGATGCATATTCACATTTACCTGCTATACAAGCAAACATTCAGAATTCACAGACTAAGACGACATTTCATAGCTTTTAAAATAACTACCAAGTAAATCACAGGAATTTTCTTTTGTGACTATAATTATTTCATTGTTAGAATTTGAAATTAAGCCAAACTCAGAGGAAATATACACAGGAAAAGAACATACTGTTTTCTCTTATGGCTCCCCAGCCAGTTACATAGCAGACAGTTCCATAAACAAATACTCTAGAGGTGCTGGGTAAACAAATGGGCTGTACCAGCTCATTGAAGAATACTGGTGTTTCCATTTCCAGCAATGCAATGTCGTAATCTGAGATATATCGGTCATATTGTGGGTGGATAGTAATCTTTTTGATTGATCTCATAGCTACATGATTGTTGTTTTCATTAATGGTATGTAAGCCCATATATGCTCTCCATCCAGAAGGAACAGAGTACCTGTAAAGAGAACTGGTTTAGAACATCCCATTGAAAAGTAAGGCAGTATTGCTTTATTTAGTTTTAATCATTATTCAGTATTTGATGAAAATCATCACAAAATTAATAGTGTAGAACCCTGTTTACGAACACTACTCTTTCCACTAAAACATTTTGATTTTGCATACTATTTTAAAAGAAATAGTCCCTTGGAATATATAAAACCAGTTCCTTGGAATGGTCACTTTTGATCCACCTTCACCCAAAGCAAAAAGCTCTTCACAATACTTCCAGAGCTGGGTTCCATAAAAGTATAATGAAAGCAGAATGAAACAGGCTATATTATTGTAATTACAGAGCAAAAACTCATGGCTTTTGATGCAGCTCAAATCTACTGTATGGGTTTCTGCTGGCACAAAAAGCATCCATGACTGATTTACCAGAATGCCACAGTATAAAAGCAGGCGTAGGCCAAATTTTAGTCAGGTTGAAAAAGGGAGGTATGAGTGTAAAGGTAAATCACCTGCTCTGACATTGAGTCAGAGGTATTGGCTGAAGCAGAACCAGACTGGGCAACTAGCAGTGGGTTTCTCAAGAGATCAGAGATTAGCATGGTTGGAGCTTTCACGCAGAATTGATGTCCCATTTGCCTTGGGTAAGGGCCAGCAGTGTTGTTAAAGCAGGTCAAGCAGGGTTGGCTGCTCTGATGTACGTGCCTCAATAGCTCATGTTCATCCTACACTAGCAGTGGGTCTCCAGGATCTTAACCATAACTGTGCTAAGTAACACAGCTATTTTAGCATAACATTACTTTGTGCGTATTCGGTAATTACACTTGCTAAATAGGTATTTAGATATACAGATAATCTATTTCTGTATGTCACTATAGTCTTCAAAAATTTACAATCCTAAAAGCAACACTGTAATTACAGTAGGAATGGTTGATTATTCCAAAACTTTCTGACTGCAGCTTTGCAACAGGACTCATTTCAGGAGCAAAACTGCTACACTTTTGATACCAGCATTGAAGCTAAACCATGATGGATTAGGATATACAGCACTGAAAAACATTAGGTCTTCTGTCCTTCATATACATAGCCTAGAGAAAAGAGAGAGAATATCTACTCAGTTCATTTGGGGATATCCTACTCAGATAACAGGGATACATTTACAGCTCAGTAAAAGTGGGATGTAGTCACAGCTCAGGAAAATCCTTTGTGCATGTCCTTTTGCACTGTTTAAAAACTAGACTATATCATAGAATCATAGAATGCTTAGGGTTGGAAGGGACCTCTAGAGATCATCTAGTCCAACCATATCCTTGACACAAGCACTGTATGCTGTGTCTCCAATATACTAACATCCTTTATTCAGCATAGTTAATTTCTTTTGGACATCAATGTCTTCTACTCCATGCAGCACACTTGATACCGCTAGCAAGTATCAAGTAAGAAACTAGTGTGTAACATTAACACAAGAATATCTGTTTTGTCTTGATGTAAGTGCAGACATATAAAACTTCTTTCAGCTCAAAATCTTATGGGCAATCACATTACAGAAACTGACGTCACATTACATCAGGAAAAATGATGTGTTTGACCAAAAAAAAAAAAAAAAAAGTATTCTCATTCTCGTTTGACCACATGCAAATATATGGTACATAATTTGGAGTACCAAGTTGCCTTCAACAAAAGTTGAACTACAAATCTTGTCCAATGTATTAACACAGACCTTGCCAAATTTAACCATCTCTTTTAGCTAGAATACAGTCATTGAAATTGAAATGCAAGTTTTTCTATGTACATTAGAATATAACATCATGCTTTGGCAGTCAGAAAAGTGTATTATCAAACTCTGAAATCATCCATTTCTTCCTTCCCATGCATAAATCACATCACAATCCACACTTCTATATACTTTTCTCGGCAACAAAAGGCAATAGATTCTCCTCTTGAAATCTTTGGTTTTAAAATAAGTTTCCTCTAAATTTTCCTAGCAAATCCTTCCTTCTAGAGTGTTTTAGTAACCTGCTATTAACCTACAAGCCTTTCCCTGGCTCAAATGCAGGTTTTACTGGCAATGGAGTTAAAAAGAGTTATTTTGGATACTTGAGACTTTCAAAGACTGCAGAACACAATATTCAGAACTTACATAGTAGTATCATGTCACAGAGCTACACCCTTAATCAGTACTACTACTAGTAATCAGTACTAGTACTACAATTGCTACTACAAACTCTTGAAAGCAACACTGCAAGGTTATTAAATTGCAGTACCCTAAGACAGTGTAGCCTGTCCATACCTTACAGAATCAGAATCCAGAAAGCAATGAGCAGCAGATATGAGCCATCTGTTTGAAATAACAGATGCCCCACATACATGGCCATCTGCTCCCATCTGTAAGCTTGCTTGCCAAGGCCACTTTCCAGGTCTTGCTTCTTTGCCTCCAACAATTCTGTTTTTCTTAAACCACTGTCTTCCACAAGCTAATAGAAATAATTGAATAAAATTGTCAAGAAAAAACACAGAGTTATTTTACATTGTTATGCTTAATATGTAAACTTACATATTAAGGGAGGGGGAGAAGACAACCACCAGTACTTTCTTACTGTGCAATTAGAAGAAAAAGATAAGGACACTTTCCCTTTTTCACTCAATGGGCTGGTAAGCTCTCTATTGATTGCTCACGTTATTTTACAGCTTAATAGAGAGGTTTGTAATTCAAAAAGACAATCAAACACAATGGTAAGCCAGGTTGTTTCTAAAGGTTTACTTAAAATCTTACATCCTTTCACTCTTTATATGCATCTCCTTGGCTATTTGCTTTTCATTCAGCACAAACAAGTGCAAATACTCACCAGTTTAACAACCTGGAAGTGAGCATTACTTGAAATAAATCAGAGACACGAGGAACCAGCGGGTTTAAAATGAGACAGTGAAACATTCAAGTCAGACATTTTCATACAGCTGTTACTAGCAAATTTGTGTTTTAAAAATCACATCTGATTTAATCAATTCTTGATCCACTAATGCGGATCCATCAATCCCTGTGTCAGTCCCCATATCATTAGCTAATTTCTTCAAATCAATGTTACCACACCACAGTTCGTTTCATCAGATCCATCTGCACAATCTCGTATTCCATCGCACTCAGGATTAGGCTTCAGCAGACATTTTCCACTGAGGCACTTGTAAGCATAAGGGGAGCAATTTTTGTAGGCTGGAATGAGAGAGAGATGATACAATGTCACAAGTTTGGAGCCATGGTTTCCAGCGACTAAATGAAATTTGCATATTCCATCTACTCTTCAGTAAACAAGGATGTGGCAAAAGCTGTTCGAAAACACACGTTCCAGCGTGTCTGAAGTCATATTTGGTGCTGGTATAAACTGGTCCTTCAGTACATAATACATTCCACTCTAGTTAAAGACCACAGTAACTTAAGCCTCCATCGGACATAAAAATAGAGAGCAGAGCTTCCAACTACCCTCTACTCCCTTTTACTTATTTCTAAAATGAAAGGGCTAGACATGTCAAGTCCATTATTTCACCTCTATCAGCAGTGCTACTGGTGTTACAAATTGTACATCTACACAGCAGATGATCTTCAACTGTCAGGGTTATTTTTGTCTTTTAAAGGAAACTTGAGCAAATCATTCAAGGGCTTGAAAGCTTCCTCCTAGATGTCTTCAGGTAAGAAGTTCCCAATTTACTACATGGAAATCCTGAGAGACCTCAGCTTTGTGCATCCATTATTGTTGATGCATATTATCAGTTGTTTACATTGGCCTCCAAAAAATGGTAGGCACTTTTTTGACAAACAAGGACATGCTGCCAGCTACCTCAAGGCTTTAAGATCCAAAGCAAAGCAAGTGTTACAGGGGCAAAATGCAGCACATCACTGACACGTAGTACCAGCAGTGTTCCTGGCAGTGCAAGAGACCATGCATGCAGCAAGATGCGAAAGTACTAAAATCATTAGGTCTCTTTCGTTTACATTATTTAGAATGGATCCTGTAACAGTACGGGGAAAATTGTTCTTCTTACAGGATCACCCACAAAATGTGGTTAGGTCATCTAACTAAATTCACTCTTACCCCAAATTTTGCTTCGTTAATTTCTGTCACAAGCACTAGTTATACTCTGCACTTTTTTCTTGTTTTTTTTTTTTTTTCACTATTAAGAAATGGGCATTTTGCAACCCAGAAGTAAGAGATTGAGCAGCGGGTCAGGAAAGCCCTCATTCACAATATGGGAATAGCTTATGTGAAGCAGAATGACTCACACTATGGGTCCATATCAATAGAGAACTACATTTCAAAAGTCTTTTTACAAATTAGATAGTACTTAGTCAACAGGACTTAACAGACTATTGAGAAATCAATAGTGTGACCTTTTTGAGTCATTTGGAGGAAGTCTCTAGGGATTTGCATATAACACCAGTAAATCCTTTTCATGTTTGCTATAGTACTGGAATCTGTAATGGTAGAAAGCTTAAATAAGCCACTGATCCTTATTAAGAGAAAAGTGGTTGAGCACGTGTTTTGTCCCAAGATCTGAAGACAAGTTGTGACAACCTGAATCATATCTTCTGTTAAACAGTATAGTGAATAACTGGAAGCTAAACAGCAGCTGCAGGTAGCTAGAAGTGCATTCTGTTATTTTTTTTTTCATTCTTTAATTAAATTAGAAAACTAGCTGCTAGATTTTAATGATGTATTTAATTGGATTACTAATCCCTTTAGAGGTACTGTTTGTTTTTCTTACAATTGTCCAAACTGAACATAACTAGAGGCATGAAAACCCAAAGAATTCATGGAAGCTGTATCTTTATTATTACAATGTTCAGACTAGCTGGTTTGTATGCTTAATCATACATGTTCTGGGCAGAACACCCAGAAAACAAACATGCTCGAGAGATGTCTATATTCTTTTGCAGGAGGAGAGAGATGGTGTGGGCTGGCCCTTACAGCTAGGAATAGCTACTTGAAGTCTTTTTCAACAAGACTCTTACACTCTTACTGCAAATTATTTTTTTTAAGGGGAAACTATAAAACAAAAAAACCCACTTAATTTGGATTTTTTTTTAATACAAAGTGATTTCAATTTGATTTATAATCAGTGTGTCTGCTGGAAAAGTCACAGATTTAAGAAGGTAGTTTATCCATTGACATGAAAACAAGCATGGTCCTGCTCCGCCTTCTCTGTCTCTTGGAAATTTTACTAACAGATATACTTACAGCAGTCACTTGCATCACTGTCGTCCCCACAGCTGTCACCACCTTTGCAAGTCTTAAACTGGTGTTTACACTTCCCATTGCCACAGTTAAGTTGAGGAAGAAAGGGCTGTGAATGCTTTATAATCCAAACAGCTGACTGACAGCCACATACAGCTCTACATAGGCCATCCACCTCCTTGACTTTAATGTGACATCCATAATAGACATGAGTCTACCTTGCTTTTAATGGCCTCGGTAACAATGTGTGGGTTAACAGGGTTACAATACTTTTGGTGAGGCCTTCCCACTGCTTCTGGGAAGATCCTTTCAAACTCCTGTTTTATATCCCAGTGTGACACAACTTTCTGATTTTTTTTTTAAGACAGCTGCATGACACTGTGACTCTCAGTCACTTTGGAGACACCACCATGCTATTTTTTGTCAGAAAAGTGACTTAGGCAATCCACCAGTTTGATCACCTAGTTAAGCTGAGATTCTGTCTTTATTGATGGTGTATTATTTTTTCCCCTCATGCTATCTCCAGTTTACCATGATCCATCCATCCTGTTGCGTGCTGTCTTTCCTATTTTTTAAGCATGTATCATATTCTATTACTTAGATCACTATCAGAAATAATAAAATATCCCATAGCAGATATCGACAGTAAAGATGTCCATGTCATGGAAAATCATTCTCCGGAAACAATTTTCCTAATGTATTCTTCTCACTGCATTTTCCTCACTTCTCCTTTATTTATCCTTACACATCATCTAATTTTACAAAAATTCCGTGTTTGTTATTACTTATCTCCTTGACACTTCTTATTGATACTTATAAATATTTCGGTTTGACTATTTTTTTTCTCTAAGAAGCTGAAATTGAGAAGATTGGTCTAAAATTCCCTTCTCTCTTTCTCTGTGCTCTAGCTTCTGAAGATACACATTGCATGGCCTGTTCTTCAGATTCCTAGCTCTTCACTTACTGCGTTCTTGAAGATAGCCATCAATATTTAGAGATTGTTTCAGCAAGTATTTAAACTTCCTAGGATAAAATGATAACAGAAGGACACAAACAAGAGAAAATTGACTTACCACAATCTAACTCATCGCTACCATCTGAGCAGTCTTTCCAGCCATCACATCGGTTGCTTGAAGGAATGCAAGTTCTATCCGCACATTTAAATTGTTGAGAACAAGCTAGAAAGATTAAAGACTGATCTGTGACAGCATTTCTATTGCCATTAAATTGCTCATTGAGACAGAAATGCCATGCAGCAGTGTAAAAATGACTATTAAAAGCTAAGGCTATTGTCATTTATAAGTTCAATTGAATGTTAAAAAATGTTGTCTTCACATCATCTGCCAAAGCAGGCAGTATGGATTAAATGAATCAACATTCATTTAAATGACTTAAAAATTTAAATTCACACTAACTGCCTCAACTCAAAGGGTTGAAAATGAGTCAGCACAGATGCATAATCACTGCTTAGAGAAAGCGTCTCTAATTTGTTAACATATATTTTACACTTAAGCAACTACAAGGAACAAAAATCATGCACACTTAGAAATTTTCCTGAGTATTACAGATACAAATTACCTGACACTAAAGTGATTTACAAATTCATCTCTGTGTTACTGCACTTGAGCTTCTTCATTTTTGATGTGAATAAATCCTTCATAGAATATTTTTCAAATGTAGTAATTTCATTATGTAACAGCCTTTCGCTTAGAAATTTCTTAAGCAGCTACTTAAAATAACAATTAATCTTGATTCTAAGGTGGTACTTTGAGATCCATCAAAAACATTTGCTCTTTTCCATTCTTCAGATTTGCCAGCAAAAATCAATCCCCAGAATTGGCTTCTACATGTAGATAGGCACGTGGAAGAATAAGCATGCAAAAGGTCCTGTTTTTACCCAGGTTAAGAGAACTTAAATGTTCTTCCTCCCTAACAGCAAAGGCAAATTCACAGCTAAGACTCTTCCTAGTGTAGCGCGAGATACCGATGACCTTCTTTGCCAGCAGGTGCATTGTTGGTAGGCAAAAGGTTCTATTTTGACCCAGCTTAAGTCAACTTAAATGTTCTTCCTCCCTAACAGCAAAGGCAAATTCACAGCTAAGACTCTTCCTAGTGTAGCGCGAGATACCGATGACCTTCTTTGCCAGCAGGTGCATTGTTGGCAAACTTGATCCAATTTGTCCACCAGGATCCCAGTGCTCATGTGCAAAGCTGCTGTCCAGATGATTGACTCCCAGTGTGTGCTGGTGCCTGGGGTTATTCCCTTCCCAGGTGTGGACAACTTTGCGCTTCTCTTTGTTGAACTTTAAGAGGTTCTTGTCTTGCCCATTTCTCCAGCACATTGAGGTTCCTCTAGCTGCCAGCAAAGCCATCTGGTATATCATACAAAACTGCCAGTTTTGTATCACCTGCAAAATTTCTGGGGTTGCACTGTCCTGTTGTCCAAGTCCATTAGGGCTTGACAGTAATTGAACAGTATGAACATTAATGGCCCCAGTTTTGACCCCTTGGGGATGCCATTAGTCTTCCGGATGGACGTGGTACCACTGATCACTTTTCAGTTCACCTAAAGATTCACTTATCTAGTCAATATTTGATTAACCTCTCTAAGGATGTTGTTATAGGAGACAATGTCCAAAGCTCTTCTTTACATTCTTCTGCATGAAATGCTGCATAAAGGTGGCCTCTTGCCACAAAGCCTTTCACAGTGCATCACTGGTCATGAAAGCTATCACTTATATCTGAAAGAAGGCATGAAGCAAGAATTTGTACCAGAGGCTTTAGCATAAGTAAGCGTAAAAAGTATATATACTTTTTTACAAGCAAAATTACACTCAGTCAAATGAGCTGTTGATCTGAGGAAATTTCACAACCAGACTCGATCTCAAAGTCTGTGAGAATTTCAGCTACCTAGAGGATAACTTTAGTGAGCTTAGAAACAGAAAGAGAATGTTTCTAGAAATTAACAAAGATTAGATGTATGCAAAGAATATACTGCAGATGAGTATTTTCTAAGAAAGATATTACAAGCCAGTATATCCGCTTTCTGCAAGCCAACACAGCCACTCTTTTCAAAGCCCCAAAAACATCTACTGCTATTCCAGAAGTGTGAATATTAGGGAGCCAGGCATGGATCTGTAGCATTAGGAAATGCAACACATTCTGGCAAAGAATCTCATTGTCTATTAATGAAAACATAAATCGCTGACTACAGACACACCTTGCTTTGGAATCACTCTGGAAGCTGATTCAGAGTATGAAGAGTTGCGAATTTTAAAAATGATTAAACTTTACTCCTGTCTGTTGAGAGTCCTACTTAGACTCTCTCCAATTGGCCTTGCCAAATGCAAATATTTTGAAATGTTTTAAAGATACTTGCAAACTGTCAAGTAATTGGATCTGTCAAAACTGGAAAACGTCACTTTAATTTCCCATCTTACAGAAGCATTGTGAAAAGTGAGAAATAAAGTACTACCTTCCATAAGTATGGTTTATCTAGTATTTAATGGTTTATTTAGTATTTAATCAGCTAAATACCTAATTACATTCAAAACATTCCTGTCTTGAAAATAGTTTAAGAAAAAAAGGCATAAGTATGTGGTTGGTTCATTAAACATGTTTTCTCAAAGGTCCTTAAAAATGAAAGTACATACAGATTCACTTACACTCTGTGTGACTGAAAGCTTTGTATTCAATATAAAACCCTCTGTGGGTGACTAGTTCATCTGAATGGAAGTTGATTGCAACAGAGGAGACATATTCTTTATTTCTGTTGCTTTCTGAAATAGTTTTGCAGTATCTGGCAAGGAAAAAATAATAAAAAGAAAAAATCAATTAATTTCTAACAAAACTGACCATTGCCACCCAGCTACCTTTCCTATTACTGCAGGGTACCAATGCCAAAAAGCTCTAAAGCACTACAACAAAGATAGGCTATTCTTGGTGTAAAAGCTTTCCAGCTTTAACAGAAGTATTAGAAAACTCAGTTACAGAAGTTCTCTACTGCCATCCTCCCTTCACACACTTAAAACCTTCTCCCCCAGCAACTTTTCTGGGACCAGCAGACTCTTAAAAAAAACAGTAAGAGAATCAGCATCACAATCGAGCATTTAAATACAAATCACTTTTAAGCATCCTTGATTTAAGATTTCCTATTTGGATTTACAAAACCCTGATTTGGGTTAACCAAAAGGTTAAAAATCCAGCAATTACATCACGCACCCAACAGCTGTCACCAACTTTCATATGCTCCTTTCTAGAGACAAATCACTCTGAATACTTCTTTTTACACACATTGCCAACTGCCCTGTTTCCTGAAAACAAGACCAGAACCAGGAATTCACATCTCCACAGCAGCTGTGTAAAATCCTGCAGTCTTCTATGTCATTGCACTTAAGGAAAGCAACAGAAGAAATATTTATCCCTGAAGAAAAAGCAGGATGGTTAAGATGATGACAAATGTTTGGTAGTAAAGCAGGATTAAGAATATTATTCTGCTGAAATTTGGTGGAAGTATGACATTTTGCTCGCTGAAATACATCTTTCTAGGCTGGAAGTGGCAAGATTTTTTAAGAACAGTATGTATTTCAGAATAACAAACACAAGTTAATATGTCAGAAAATAGTGTATTTGACTCACCTAATTCCATCAATTTCTAACCAGTCCTTGTCACATTTACTGGACCCTGGAGACTTCTCTTGAATTTGTATTGAAAGGATTTTTAAGGACAGTTTGTAGCCAGGCAATGGTGCCTAAAAGTGAAAAGATAAATATCACACCATACACAACCACAAAATGAAAAGTCCTATGCTCCTGAGGTGGTAAAACTTATTTTACTGATTATTAAATTCAAAGCATCTGTGAAAATCCCCAAACTTTGCCATTCCAAGTGTGTATAGAAATCTTTTTGGATATACTTTTCCCTTGCAGACTGTGACAGATAAAGGAGCATAAATCTTCTTGCAGCCAGCCCAAAGCTCCATATCCTAGATCCACGCTATATTTCTTCTGCCAGGTGGTAGATCACAGAAGTGATTTAAGACACCTAAGGCAGCTGGCCACACAACTGCACTAGCTCTTCATGCTCTGGAAGCCCAAATGAGCAATGTGCTTTAGAAAGCCTTCCTTTACATTCCTGCATAGACATAATAGTTATATGAAGCTTATGAGCTGCTAATAATTTTAATTGAGCAGGTGAAAGGTAGAGACTGCTGCAGTCTCACAGACATTCCTTTTTCCAAGGAAAGTCAAAAAAAGCAGTGAAATGTTTAACAGAGCAACGGGCAAACAGAAATTTGGTGGCAACCATAAATAGGATTCCAGATAAGAGCTGGCTTCCAACAGCCGAGGACTTTCTGGAAATTCAGAGTTGAATTCGTGAGCCAGAAAAAGTCCTCTTTTTGCTGAGTTGAGGGAGACTGAGTATGATACACTAGGATACATGATATGCTTCCATTTTCCTCTTTCTACCATAGAGGTAAAGCCATGGCTATTAATCACTCACTGGGCTGTTAGCAACTGTCATCATATCCAGCACTTTTTTGTGTCATGAATAATTCTGTCTTTTAGAAAGAAGCTGGTAGTCCTCCCTTACCACAGCCTTTTGCCCTTTGCATAAAACAGGAGGAAAACAGAGTACCTGAGAACAAGTCAGGTGCAGTGGTCTCGGTATGCTTCCCATCTCATTTTTTCCCCATACCGAAAGACATTTCTCCCAGGTTAGCTTCAATACCACATAAAGCAAAGCGCTTCACAAACATCACAGCTACTCCTAAGAGTTCCCAGGACTTACTTGGATGATCCAGCTGCAGTCGATGTTTGGTGGGTAGTAACTTGGGTAATAAGGAGAACTCAGTGTACCATTCCAGGAGATAAAATGCCCGCCGCACACTGGGAGAGAAATACATCAGCAAGGAACACAATTACCTCCACTGGGCTAAAGCTGGAGAGTTTATTTCACTTGTTAGGCTCCTTCCCTGTGCACAGGGTTAGAAGAATCATGACACTATTACACTCAGTTTTTGCCCATCTTAACAGAGAAGCATGCGAACTTCTACTTCCTCATCACTCGGAAGTTTTGGATCAAACATAAGTGGTGTTTTTAGAAAACCCTTCTTTTACAGTAAATGGAAAAAGAAAAAAAAAGAAAAAAAAAGAAAAAAAAAAAGAGTGAACCCTGCAACTGGAGTAGGTTTTTTTTTCTCCAAAATGGAGTGAAACCACATCCAATGGACTGAAACCTACAACTAGTTTTATGCAAACCAGGAAATGTGTGTGTCAATTTTCAATCTGAAAATGCATGTCACATTTGGGCAATTATCTTTGAGGCTTTATATTTTATCAAGAACTTTCCTAGACATCCAGTGCTTACTGCTTTTGGTTTCTTTTAGGTAAGACAGTAGATACAAACATGAAATACAAATAATAACAATTCTGAATATTTTGCCTTATTTTTTATACCAAAACTGGACTTTCAGAGTTCTGAATACCAATGCTCAGAGTGGTGAAGGAAGTTTAATTTGTAATGTGCATTACATAAGTATTTTTTTAAACAGTATTCATAAAGGCATACTGTGAAATGTGCAAACCTTGAAAAAGGTTTGTTTTCTATAATCTATCCCCTATTTGTTTCACAGGTTAAAAAATTCTTCATTTTTTCAATTTTCCCTCAGTTAGAGAGGGAAAAAATACATCTTACCAAAGAAGTGTGGGTAATTTTTCCACTTCTGAAGCTTTGAAATCGAGCAAAATATTACAGTTTTTTATAATTCAAAATATTTCAATAATTGTCCACAACTCTTGTAAAACTCATAGTATCCGCTATGCTTGGAATATAGCGCCTTGGTCCTGAATCTGCTGGATTTCTTGCGGTCAGTTAAATTGTGCAGCTCCTTTAAGAAGGTGATCAAAGACTTAGAAGTAACTTTTTTTATCCCATTATACAATTTTCATGAAATATGTCATCCCTGAGCTTGAGAAAGATTGCCAAACCTGATACAAGTGCTGCTCTTAGAATGGGGCTGGATACGTGCCAAAAATCTATCTGGCTGGTTGCTCTGCTGCTAATATTTGTGGGTTATTCATGCAGTAAGAGCAATCTCTGAAAAAGATGGCTTTGGGCAGTCATCAAGAAAAGAGAAATTCTGCCAAAGATAATGGTATTATTTATTGAGTTCCCTGACATATCTTTTAAGTGGATTTTGAGATTGCCTGATACAAGTGCTGCTCTGTGACTGGGGCTACTTAGAATGGGACTGGATACGTGCCAAAAATCTATCTGACTGGTTGCTCTGCTGCTAATATTTGTGGGTTATTCATGCAGTAAGAGCAATCTCTGAAAAAAAAGGCTTTGGGCAGTCATCAAGAAAAGAGAAATTCTGCCAAAGATAATGGTATTATTTATTGAGTTCCCTGACATATCTTTTAAGTGGATTTTCCCCCAATATTAACTGTTTTTGAGGCAAAAGGAAGAATAAGCACGCTTACATCAGGCACTTGTTTCTATTCATCACTTACTGATTTTAGGAATGGCTTGAAAGTGAGCTTTTAGTATGCTCCCTTCTTCTCTTCGGTGCAGTGAAAAGGTAAGCAACATTACGTTACTCGATGAAGTTAAACGTACACCAGGAGTAGTCCAGGCCACAGGCCCACACCATCTGAAATATCACAAACTTTGCATAAGAAGACATTTTCCATATTCCAGTCAGAGAATATGAGAAACTGGACTGGAATGACACTGATCTGGTCATCTCCATTTCACAAGTATTCCTCTGACTACCATTTCCCTTTTATTCTTTCAATCAATTGATACTACCTGAGATGCTTGCTAGACTCTCCCAGTCTCGGAGTTGAATTATTCAGGGTAAACATTAGGAATATTCTGACTAACAAGTACTCTGAATTTTCAGGCCTTTATAAACATTGGAAAGGCAGGGCCAGATGAGGCCACTTAAGTCTTAAGCAGTGGATAGCACCGAGCAGATCCGTGCTGCAGCTCATCCTGCACCTTGCATCTTTGTGCAACTAGTCCAAAACATTTGCTATCTGTTAGCACTGAGTTGGGTTTCATGTAGCTGACAGCAGGATCTTTCAGAACAGGCTGCCAAGAACAAGAGATGGGGAACCCGACCCATGGCAACTATTTTGTCTTCTTTTGTTTTAAATAGTGAGCTGTTAATTTATAACCTGAAACTTGAAAACTTATTATCTCTTGTATTTTGAGACACTATTGCTTATATATGTAAAAAAATTCTTATACCGATTCCACTTTGAAACCCACAACATAATTTGGATATTTTTTCATTCACAAATCTTTCAATTTACAAACCTATGTGTGAAAAATCTAATAATTTACTGTTATGCACAGCGACTAAGTGCATTTTCATCACAACACTGCATCAAGCCCTTTGACAGTGTTACCTCTTGTCACTGAGGTCCAATAGCGGCAGTATTAAACATAAGTTTTACAACTTCGTCTCAACAGTCCTCTCAAGCTTTTGGCAGGGTACTCTGTTTCCACTTTAAGACACATTAAGTAAGGATTTGTGAATTGCCATCTATTTTTTAGTCATTATAGTATTCTTTTGTTGTGATACTTGTCAAACCTTTCATAAAATTAACAATCTGAGTCCCATCTCCACTGCCATGTAGAAATATTTCAGAACTATGATCTTCTTAGATCCTCTTATTTTCCAGCTGTACCTTTTGCCACAGTATCTTGAGAAAAGGGAGACAAGTATATGTGAGAAGACCTGCCTGCATGAGACATCTCATCTTATGGCATATCTCAATCTCAGCTCATTTTTTCCTCAGTATTTGTAGTGGAATGCTTTATTACTCCAGTCTGAAAGAAACTGTGATAATGATTTGAAGCACCATTTGTGATCCAAGGACCAAACGTTGGGAAATGAGGGGGGTAAGAACCTCCCACATAAGCTGTCTTCTCAAGGTAATTAATGGTAGTTCTCCTTTAGATCATGTAATAAAACTAGCAAACCTTTATCCTCATAGCCACATGAAACACACCTTCCATTTGGGTAAAATATTGTAGTACACACATACAATTTCTGGAAAAGACCAACCAATTTCCTTTGTTAAGGGAACACAGACAACGTATAGAAATTCCTGTCCATTATGAAGCATAGATTCTGTCTTCACTCCAAGCCTGGCCTTTTGACAGTTTGTCTTCAACAAGAAGCCCTAAAGGCCTTGTTGCCTCAGGAGAGAGATGAAAATCTGGAGAGAAACCCGAGCAGTGAGCTTTCTGTAGACACAGAGTTGTTACAATAATTTGTTTATGACTTCACCATTATAAAACATCTTTTCTAAAAGTAATGAAATAAAAAAAAATAAAACTGTATCTTTTTGAGTTGTAACACTACTGGTGTAAAATCAAATACAGCACAAAAATGAGTTGTATTGTAAAGTAAAACCATAGGAATTCATAATTCATTGTAGGAGGAAATAATGTGGAAGATCTCTTCACTGCTTTATACAAGATTTTTATTTAAATTTTATTTGAAATTCCCTACATGTTGGGACTCTGTTTGATATCAATTTTTGTACACTAGATTTTCAGAGTTTCCTTGCAACTCAGGAAAACATATATTTTTTTTTTTCTTCTGTGCTATCATACCTTGTAATGATCTTGTTCTGCAGAGGAAGAAGGAAATCGTATGCTGACAACTGGTGTGAAGCACAGCTCCCTGGAGTGACACCACGCAAAGTACCAACTACCAGTCTCACCACATAGTTAGAAGGAACTCGCAACCTCCACTGATAAAAAGACTTCTTGGGATTCACCAGAGTTAGAGTCCTGTTGTTACCTGGCTTGGCATACAGGTCAAAGGATACTGCTATACAGAAAAAGCTAGATCAGTGGCTGAATAAATGTCAGTCAAAATAAATAAATAAAATTAGTGGGGAAAATTTCAGAAGGTGTGACAATAATCTCCCACCTATTAATCTACTTCTGGTTGACCCTAGTCTCCTCTTACTCTTGTTAGCTGTGCCAACTTCCCCTGACAGGATCAAGTGCGTCCTCTTGCTCCCGCTCTGGCTGAGGTGGCCCAACACCTCCCCGTCACTATGGGCTCATCACATGCTCAACAGGGAGAAGTGAACTTGGCTACAGCTGCCACCAGCTCTGTCTCTGCCATTTTCCCTTTGCCTCTCTACATGCAATGAAAATAAATACTCAGCATGTGACTATACAGCTTTGAGAGGTACTCAGTACGAGAAACCCAAATAAGCTGATATTCTACAGTACCTAATCAATCACTAACTACTACTCACCAAAATTCTCTAGCTACAAGGCAAATAAACCATGTATGATTTTGCATACTGGCATTTCTTTTTTAAAGATGCCACAGAAAGGAGATATGTTTCTCACTGAAAAATAATAAGAACTGTTCAACTTCAACCAATCAATGTAAAACATAGAATAAAAGCTATAAGGCATTTTCATTGCAGTCATTATATGAAGTCTAGGCCATGCACAGCCTTAGTCTGGTTTGGTTCTTAGGCCTTACAGAAATATGAATAATTGAGGAACTGCAATTTTTATGTTACAGGAGTATTTTTTTCCAGAGCGATAGTCTTTGAAATTGCAGAATAATTACCTGATTTTAGCATGACATCATATTCCATGGAATCTGAAACTGAAATTTAATAACTGTCAGCTACACAAGTCAAAGACACAAACTGGAAAAAGAAAAATAGACAGAAGAGGTATTAAATGACAGGTACATTGTTACCAAAAAGCTCTATCATAATGAGATCAAAATCTTCCTCTCCAGAGCTGTACTTGTGACGTGCTTTATTACTACCAATCAGTTTTTGTTGCTTTGAGCTTAATTTAAGAGAATCGACCACATCTTGTGGCGCCCTGAATGTATCCCAATAATAAGCTCGAAGTCCAGACTCTCCTTCGCTGTGGAAGAAAAAAACTCATATCATAAATACACTCCAACTAACAATGGACATATCTATATTTTTGGTTTCTACAGCATAATAGACAGCTGCACTGCTGTTCAGAGAATTGCAGCTGAACACAAGGGCAAAAAGATCTCCTGTTTCAGAACTGGCTTTTATAAACAGTAGAGAGATTCTCAAAAAGCACAATGAGATAGAAAACCACATTTCATAGTTTTTTTTTTTTAATTTAAAGCTTCACAGTGTATGATAATACAGTTTTAAGCCCATAGTTTGGTAGTAGAACATTTCAGACTGTTTCTGTTGAGATAATAAGTTTTCTGTACAGGCATACAATGTAATTTTCAAATGATTCAAGGAGACAGTCCATCACGCTCCTCCTTTCAAAACGGCCTATGGACTGATCTTTCAGAAGTTTTCAGGGATTTTTATGACAGGAATATCCACCTGCTCAGTGTATTTAGATTCCTTAGCAGGAGCCTGAGAATACGGCCCAACCCCAAATTATAGTTCTGAATGTTAATTTGAGACGTTAAAAGGGAAATTTAAATAGGCAAAACCAAAGCAAGTTTCTGTCAAGTGGTACAGAAAAAATGCTACTGAAGTGTGGTTTCAAAATCAGAAGCAGATCAATAGATTCTCTTAAATAACGAATTTATAATACACTAAAAAGATGAGCCTAAATTCAATAATTCTAATTTAAATTACATGCTTGAAAAGAACCTACCTGAAAGCAGCCACTACAGACTTCAAGTAATATTTTCCCAAAGTGGACGACTTGTATAACTCTGCAAACTGACAGTCAAATAATTGCAAAAAAGATGTAGAGTGATGTTGTAGTGTCAATACAATCTCTCATGATATGCAAGTAATTGTACTATTTCTTCCCCTATCTCCTTACCCGTATCCTACGAACATCACCAAACATTTTCACAGAATGTGCCAGGTATGATAAATGTGTATATATTTTCCTTAAAGTTTTTTTTCAATCACATTATGTTTAGAAAACATTGTGATAGCTCTTGATGATTAGCCAAGAAAATGTTCATAAATAGGTTCGTATTTTTATAGTCTTCATATACTTTGGTTACGTAAATCGTGGCAAATTTCTGCCACATAATCTAGACACGGGCAGCTTGTGTTGGTTGTGCACAAAGCAGCTTTGAGATAGTAGATTAGCTCCGTTAGGAAATACAGGCTAACAGAAGTGCTTTGTGTTTAAGACTTCTGTTCACCTCTATCGAGGAAACAGTATCGATCTCACAAATACGGACATGAGAAGTGCAAGAAAGCAGGCATTGCCGGGGGAGTAAAACAAAATAAATCTTATGCCTTGAATTTAGACTGTAATTAAAAACCCCACATCAAAAGAATAATCTAGCAGGGAAGAGAGAACAAAGTAAAATAAACCAAAAGAAAAGAGCACAGTGCTAACTCTTTTAATGAGAATAACCTTAAAATTCACAGGTTTTGTTATCTAGGAAATACTGACCTTCGTGTAAGACTCAGCTGTAGCTGTGTAGCTACAATGCTAACGTTATGCAACAAGTGAAATACCTTCCAGCTACTTGATAGCTCTAAATTTATTATTTTGGGAGAAAAAAAAAAGTTTTTTTTTAAAAAAAGTAAAAACAAAAACTGGAGTCTTCTCCTCAAACCCAATCTGAATTTGCAACAAATACTTTTACATTCTTGCTATACTTATGTGGGAACTTACAGAATTTTGGATTGCTTCCGCTTGCAGGAGGAATTTCTGGGACTTTGGATTAGAGAGGTCATTTGTATATGTCAAATTAGGAATTTCTACACTTCCACCAATATATATAACAGAAAAAGGTGATGCTGAGAAAAGAAAAAAAAAGGACTAGGAATTAGCATGCATAATAATATTACAGAAAAACTTCCAGAACAAGAAGCTTGCAGAAGTGTGTATTTGTCCTTGATGTAAGCAGGAATTAGTTCTTAAAAGAAACACTGAATAATATTGAGAGTGCTGAGTAAATTCCACTGCTAGAACAATGCCCAGAAGAATAAGCTATTTGGAAATGAATGAGGTACAAGAAATGCAGAGACATTTCTACTAATAGGTCTTAACTGTTAAGCTTCCTTTTCGTTTCCTTTCCTAGAAAGGTAGGATTTTAAAGACCATGAGTTGAGTTTTAGGAAGAAGCACTCAAAAAGTTAAGTATCCGTTCTGTTCTGAAAAAGTGAATAAGACAGTTCATATGCATTCTTGAGAAATATTACAGATAATAGCATTCACAAATAGAGACAAAAAATACAGATACCAACACATATCTTCAACATGCAACCGTCAGCTGCTAATTACTGTGCATTTTATTTGCCTTAGCAAGGACATTAAGAAGGGAAAGTGAGCAGTTTATATATTCATTACGTACTTAACTGCTTAGTAGAGTTTACAGAGCTTATCATTCACATAGCACAAAATCCCATGCATACCATGATCAAGAACTTACCAAATGAATACTGCAGGACCAGCACAATTACTGTAACTATTAAAGAAATCACAGGTAATACTCCTAGAAACCACCTTTTGCAGAAATGCAAACTTGTCCATTTGAGGAAACGATACTTCTGACACACATCTTCTTGGTAAGGCTGACTACAGCGAAGATGTGGACTTTCCTAAGGCAAAATAGTATCATAGTTCACTACTATTGTCTTTATAATCTTTAAAGAGGTTTGAACTAACATACATATTCCATGTTACCATGCTTTCTCACATGTGAAACACATGTATTTCTAGGTCACTCATTTATGATATGCATTTTAAGTTATATGAGGAAAAAAAAAAAACACACACTACTGCTTGAGGTAGAAGTGATTTGCACGTGAATAACTGCAGAGAAAGATCACGTACTGTGTTTCTGCCATAAATCTCAGTGGTTGTCTCTTACCTGTCCAGCCGCCTGCTCAGCATGGTAGGGAGCTGCTATGCTGTACACGGAAACCTGTCCGGAGGGGAAAGCCCGTATCATCATGTCCTGACAAACGTCTCCGAACAGGGCTACTAACAAAACCCTAGATGAACCTCATTTCCCAAGCATAACCCAGAAGAGCTGCCCTCCTCCCCAGCTCTGCCCGTCCCTAGGCTTCCCCCAGGCTTCTCCCATTTCACCTTTGCCATAACGCTTAAAGCAGGAGCCGGCTGACTTGCAATCAAAGGAGGTGGCGAGGCAAAGTCAGCACCACTGTAACTCTTTGTTTTCCTAACTGGCTAAAGAGAATATGGATCTCATAATTTAAAAGCAGATCAGTTACCCTCCTCCCTCAGAAAGGCAAGAATAAGAGATATTTTGACTACTTACGGAAATTATATGCAAGCAAATGATAAAGCCTAGAACAAGGTAAATAAGGAGACTTCTGAGAAAAACCTGAAGGAATCTTTAAAAATACTTACAAAAAAGCAAAAACACACAATTATATGATTTTTTCAGTAGTAAATATGGTGAACACAAGCTTGTATCCGAGAACTAGCAGAACGATTAATATTGATAATTTCTATTTAAAGCTTATAATAGTTGCAAGCCAATAACTTAAGGGAATTATGCACATTAAGAAAATTTAGGGTGAGAGAAGTTATGTGTATATACATACACATATACACACACACATGTGTATGTACGTATATATAGATATAGGTACACACTGGTTCTGGTTCTAAAACCAGAAAAACAAGAGAAACCAGAGAAGCTTCAGCAGCAAAAAACAAGAAGGGACCAAATCAACCCCAACCAAATGTAGATCACATGGACTACAAAGGGATTCAGTGAAAGGCAATCCTCATGGCTCAGGAACGCAGGATCCAGCTGTAGACAGATTGCTTTGTTCAAGTCCTCCCCATTTTCAACACCTTCTATCCACTCCACACACAAAGTACTGATTGACTGGTACTTTTCCCCTTCTTTCAGGGGAAACAATTCTCAGAAAAGCATAGAATAGACAAAACCTCTTTGGTATCTACTCTAATAGTTAAGTTTGATTTTTTTTTTTAAAAAAAAAACGATGTACATCCAGAAAAACTAATTCTGTAGCAGCTGTCAGAGGGAGGAGGTATCAGTTTCATGCAGGTGAGGACAAGATCATTGCAGCATACAGCACTGTATTTACTTGGTTTGTCAAGGTTGCCAGCAGATAAGGAATTCAATTTCTCAGGTGAGCTAACTATGACTAATCTTGAATATAGGGCAGTTGGGGCAGGAAACGAGAAACATAAATACTCCAAACCATACTGTTAATTAAAATGGAAATTAGAGAAATGATAGGACTAATTCTTTATTCCATACTTATTTGTGGAGCTTTTAGCTTCCAAAACTGAGGGCCTTACAGGTTGCGGACGTTTAAGTTAAACTGCCATATTTAATCAGAAGAACTTTAATACTATGATTTCTAATACAATAGTATCACCAGAATTTCTCCCTTAAAGAATACCACAAATAATGAAGTCATAAAAGAGTGGGCGTTAATTTCAGCAAGTCTAATAGATCCATACATGTCTGTCAAGAAATAAATTGACTCTTGTCTTAAAATAAGTTGTCTTCTAATTCACAGAAGTAAATTTGAGAGAAAGACATGAATTCTTATGCACTTATCATATGTCATAATTTAAATAAAAATAACCATGTTAAAAGGAAACTTAAATAAAGCAATTTGTGACTGAAGTGGTGACACCAGCAACTGAACTTAAGTATTTCACTGTATAAGTTTCACTTAATGAACTTCCATCTTACACCTTCATAGTCTAAAAGATGCCTCTGGCTGTGGTTTACAGAATGTTATAGCTATGCTTTTGCAGGACAGTCTTTGATTTCCAAATATGCATGAATGCCAAGTTCAGCTGAAATCCTCATCCCCTACCCACTATAAAACTGACATTTTATCTTCTTAGAAGCAACCCCACCCACCCCCTCTTGCCTCCTCCAAATAACAGCTGAAAACAGGCAAGGAAAAATAAAAACATTCCCTTTAGGCAGTTACATGAATGTATTGCTTTGAATGGACATGTTCATTGAACTGATGGAAGTTAGTTTAGGCTTCACGTGATCTCACTAAGTTTCATACCACAAAACATACACAACGTTTCCACCAAAACATCATTAGTCTTCATGACTTTAGCAGCTTCCCTCATCCAGGAAAAATGAGCAAAAGAAGGCATAGTATAAATGAACATGTCAAGAGCTAAAATTTAAGACCAATTTAGATAAAATTGCTTGTGGTAGTAACTATTATTTCCCATATGTGCTGGTGAAAGAAGCCTGCCAGTGAACAACCTACTGGGACTGTACTAAAGATGAACTATCTAAAAGCAAATATATTCCTATAATTCTCTGAGGCACTTCTAAGGCAACAGCCACTCAATAGAGAATATTGGAGCGGGAATGAAGTGTGGAGAGTTTGTGGTTTGTGGATTTTTCCGGTCTCTTCAGGTCACAATCCACTTCAGTTCATACTCATTCAACAACTTTGTATTCGTTCTTCCTAACGATGCCTATTGATGATTTTTTAGAAGCCAATTCAGAGAAAAGGTCAAGTGCTCCTTCCTCCATACTGATTGAGCTAACAGTATCATAGAAAAAGCCCCCAGCTGCTTGGAAGCTGTTTGCTTGCAGAAAACAGAAACATTGCTTTTCTGCATCAGAAATGCTTCTCTCAAGAGCTTTCCTTTCTCCGTGTCAGCTGTTGTTGTTGGAGAAGGCAGAGGAAGCAGGCTTGGCAAAAAGGCTGATAGCTGAACAGCTGCTTTGGTTGCCACTGTACTGTTAGCAACACCTGTGAAGGAACATCTGAGTTAGTTAAGCACAGCCAGTGGCTTGACAATTGTGTCTTGGGCTTCCTGATAGATGGTTGCAAACACACACTGTTGGTGCCTGGAAAAAAATGAACAAAAAGACCTTGCCAGATGTTCATTACTTCAGCAATTGCAAGGTCCACAGACAATCACAAGATCAAACTTTTCCTCTGATTCTTCTTTCTTCCAGGTTTACACCAGAGGATTACTCGTTGCATCAACACCATGTATTCAAAAAAGCAATAAAAAACCAACATGATTGCATCACCTGGGAAACAGGCAAATAAATTCCACCAACAGCAGTTTTATCAAACACGAATTTTAATGAAGATATCCAGGACATGTTTTACTCTAACATAAAACACCTTTCAGGTTACGAGATCAAAGGCACATATTTGTGAATCCATGGAGCAAAATTTGACACTCTTGTGTAGACACCAGGGAAATTTGGTCTTCCACATCCATAACCCCAACTAACAATGCCAGTCAAAAACCATCTTCCATTAGCGTTGCTTTGACATGATAAGGGTCCTCCAGAATCCCCCTAAAAAAGAATATAAAATAAAGAACATTAAAACCTAGGAAAAATATCTACCAGAGTTTTGCCCAAAATATCTACCAGAGTTTTGCCATTCACACAGCTCAAACCATTGGACATTAAATAGGGTGTTTTTTTTTTTTTTTTCCTCTTCAAGACAAGTGTGATTTCACAGTTCTATCAAGTTTTGTGATTCACAGGAGAAATGACTAGCTGTTACTTTTTAAAAGTATCAATAAAGATATATGGGCAATGGGCTAAATTTTAAATTCACAAATTCTCAGCCTCCAAATTATAGCTAAACCCATAATGGGCTACTTAATACGTTCATTCATTTTGAGACTACAAACATATATCCAAGGACACGAGAAATTGTATGAAAAAATCCACATGTCAAAGGCAAAATACAGAAATAATCTTTAATAATCAGTATAACTTCATTTAAAATAAAAATAATGGGAACTGATCAGCTTGTCATGGGAATTTTGTTTTTTCTGTTAAAAAAGAGGCTTATCTTAAATTACCTCACAAAATTGTTAGAGATAAAACTTAGAAAATCATTTTTTAACCTTGAAAAATATAACTCTGAATTGCGATTCAAAGTTTGTGTGTGTCAAATTGTGATTTTTTAAAAAATCACTAGAACAAAAGCAAAATGGAACACCAGCATTTTTCACAAAACAAATCACACATTTTCTTGCTGTAAGAGCCATTGCTTTTATGGTGTAAACTAAGAAACAAATATACGAGTGCACAAAGATACATGTGCTGATGGCCATGTTGCTAGCGTAGGTTTACTAATCACACATTAAGGAAAGATAGTATTTAGGACTTAAACAATTTGAGCAATTAGCCACAGCTTCACATACAGTTTGGAGGCCAGAGAAAAAAAAAAAAGCTTGTGATTTGTCTCACTTCTGTATAGCACTGGTCTATACATCTTTAAGGTGCCAGCTCTATCATTAAAATAGGTGTTTTATCCAACAACAACAAAAAAGTAGTAAAATCAGAACTTCACCTTTTTTTAAAAAAAAAAATCAGATCATTTCTGATCTGACAGCATTGCTGCTGGTTTAAGAATTCTGCCTAGTTGTCTGCATTTCAGTCAACACTATCATTTCAACTGTGGGGAGAAGGAATTCTAAAAAAAAAAAAAAAAAAGTCATGCTAGGTTCTCAGTTTCTCCAGCTGTAAAACTCTAGTGCCAAATATTGCCTCCCCTCGGCAATTCCTATGCTATCCAGACTTACAAGTCAACTAGCCCTCAGGTTAAAACTGAAAATTAGTGAGGCTATCCATGCACATAAAGCGGCAAAACTCCAAGAACACTTGGATGGCAAAGTGGCTGATAGAGAACCCCTGCAGAGCTGTTTCTCAGAACCAATATACAGGCATCACAAAGTGGAGAGTCTGTCTCTTCTTTCCACTCACCATGAAACAACAAAAAACTAGAGAAACTCCACATGAGCCGTGTGGGAATACCTACTTTGCAGCCATCTCTTTTCCCAGACATGAGGCCTGCACAGAACATCCTAGCTGTAATTATCCCATATGTAGAATGACATAATGTTTGGTCAATGATTTCTACCTCTGCTTTCTGAAGAATGGCTGAACCTTCATCGTCTGGAAAACAAATTAAAAGTAAGAGCACACAGAGCTCAGGGCTTTACTTATCTGCTGAAAGACAAATCAAGTAGTCTTCAGAAAGAAAGAAAGTACTTGTTCATATTCCTGAAGATCAGGTTATTCCAGAATCAGAAAACTACAACTGCAGGGAGATGTTAAATACTTACACAAGCATTTTCCCTTTTTTGCCTCCAAACCTTTGTCTGACAAAAAACCAAAGGTATAACCCAAAGCTTCATCCTACCTACGATCAGAAAGCCTTTTCAAAGTATCAGGCATTTATGCAATGTGATCTCGGTTCTTTGGCTACAGAAAGTATAATAGCATAAACATTAGGTTTGACCAAAATATCTTTATATGATTTGATAATTTATTCTCTTTTTACTTTGAAAAGAAGATGGAATTTTACAGGAGTATTAGAAACATCAGAAGACCACTTGGAAATTAGCGTAGTGTCTTGTAAGGGCCTGTCCAAAGTTAATGTCTCACGTCCAGATCAGACAACCAAAATCACCACCTTGACAGAATAAAAGCTTTTTGTCAAATCCTGCCCTCGAGGTCCAAAGGTTTTGTTAAAACAGATGCTTTTTGTAAAATGTGTATTTTTTGGAATAGAGGCCTTTTAGGGATGTTAACAGGCTGCCAATAGTTTTAAGTGTTCAGACTAACACTTCCAGACCCTCAGGACCCACAGACACTTTTCCCGATGCAGCATCCGCACAGATCTCCCTCCGCAGGGCAGCAGTCCCACCGTGTGGAAACGGCAGCGCACCAGAGCTCTGCAAGGAAAGCGGGGATGCCTGGGGGTTGGCAGGGAGCCGCGTCGGCACGAGCGGGTCACGACACTCACCCGCCTCCTGCCTTTGGCCCCATCCCGTCACCCAGCACGTGTGGCCGCGGCGGGCTCGCTGCGAGGCCGGGGGCAGGCAGATGGGCTGGATGACGTGGCTCATGGCGTCCGGCCAGGGCTGGCCGAGCTGCAGTAGCGCGATGTCGTAGTCGTAGGTGCGGCTGTTGTAGTACTCGTGCACCACGATGCGCCGCACGGCCAAGACCAGCCGCGCACGGCCCTGCGTGCGCATGCCCAGGTGAGCGCGCCACGCGCGCGGGTCGCCCAGCCTGGCGGAGAGGGAAAGCACAAGCCCGGCGTCTGCTCACACCCTCCGGCCCCAGCAGGGCCGAGGGGAGAGGGAGCAACCTGCCCCTTGATCCCGCTCGGCTAAAAGGCTTTGCAGGCTGCCGGCGATGCCCAGGGTCAAGTTAGGAGGGAAAATAGCTTACTTGCTGCCTTGGAAGCAGTGAGCTGCCGACACGAGCCAGTCTTTGGATATCACCGAGGCCCCGCAGTAAGCGGCTCCTGCAAAATGGAGGCTGACCTGCCAGGGCCATTCCCCTTCCTGAGCGTCTCTGCCGCCCACGATCCGAGAGACGGGCTCGCTGCCCCTGCTGCTGCCGCAGCCTGCAAGGGAGGCTTCAGGTTAGGCCCAGGGCTTGCCTTCATCTAGACCACTTCCCACACAGGCGTGAAAAAACCTTGTACCTTCAAGAGCTTTCAAGCCTATTTCCTTGCCCTGCTCTAAGCCTCTCCTCTATTTGGCTACTCTGTTCCTGAAGCAAAAGGCAACTCTAAACAAGACACAGGTGGGGCAAATAAAAGATTCATTACTAGCTCTGCCACAAAAAGCACATCCCTAATTCTTCCTGGTGTCAGAAATGTCAGATTGATTTACTTGCACAAGCATCACAATGAATACGTAAAAAGAGATAGTCCTTCAACCTCTACTTACTACTCGCGACCCTCAATTCACAACCAGTCAGGAGGAAAAGGAGTTCAGTATCAACTGGACACTTATTCCCTGCCACATCTGCAGGAATGGTACAAGAAAGGGGTTTATAGCAGTCACTTACATAAAATTTGGTTGTTTATTACTTCCTAAATGAGGTAGTCCAGTCAGTAATTTTCATGGAAACAACTCAAATGTCTGAAAATATCACATATTACTAATTCATGGTGGCACAGTGAAGAAGCCACGTCTCAGCACAAAAAGCTGCACATAGTATTTCCAAGGTGAAGGGAGAGAGATTCCTCCTGTAGGCCGTAATGCCCTTTCCTAGTACATAAATATGAAGCCATCACTCAGGAGTTTTAGTCCCACACTCCCAGCGCTTACCCACAGCATGAAGAGCAGCATTCATGTTTCCAAACACAAGTAGTCTTATAGTATTTTAAGATACCCTACTGTACCCAAGGCAGGTGCTGACAGATTTAAGGCACAGGTGTCATGCCAGAGGCAGCTGTAGGCCAGATAAAATGCCCTAAGGCATTTAGTTTAGGCAACTGAATCCTAACCTTGGTTTTATTTCTATTGCAGTAACAATCACCTGTTTATATAAAAATGAACCAGAAAAAGTTTATCTAAAGGCTGCTTTAGTAAAACCCCAGACTAGAATCTAATTTGATACTATGAAAGATTGTGGGGACATTGCCATCCAGAAAAGAGGGAGAAGTAAACATTTCTGTTCTTTATCTGGATTGCAGCTGTCTCACTCAAATGCAGCTTGGCTCCAGAAGTATTTGACTCTGTGGCACATAGTAAGAATGCTGCCTTATTGCTTTATTTACTAGCCAAGTTCACTCTGCAATTACCTCTACTTCCCTGCACCATAACCTTAATTAGCCCTGCTTGGCTGCACTGAGTTACAGCTCACTAAATCTCCCTTTAACAGTGCTCCCACAAGCACTTAAGAAACTCTGCAACTAGACCTGATGTAAATGGACACCTGAAACAGTATCCCATAATCACCAAGGTAATTTAAAAAAATCTCAATACCTGCTATATGAGTTGTACAAACTCCAAAACATTAAGAAATAATGGGATTTAAGTGTTTAAAAAAAAAAAAAGTTCAAAAAAGCCGAAGTTCAAAAAGCTGAATGTTTGGGAGACTTACTGCAGCTGCTTTCATCACTTCCATCAGTGCAGTCCACAGTCCCATCGCATTTTGCATTTTGTTTCCTAATGCAAATGTTATTCCTGCACTTAAATGTGTGCTTGGTGCAAGGAATACCTGAAATTTCAGCAGAAAAAAAAAGAAAAAAAAATCTCTTGAAGTTGCTTTGCATGAAGACACATCTGTACAGATAAGATTTATACCTGTATCAATAGGCAGGAAGAAACACAACAAAACACTTTTTCTGGGATGGCTTAAACCAATCCCCCTCATTAGAATTGAAAGATCAAGCCAATCAAGTAGAACTGCATCTTTACCAGTGCTTCTATGAACTCAGCTGCATATAGAAGCATGGATTTCCTCCTATCCCTTTCTACAACACTAATGAACCTTATTATACTGATAGAAACATAGATGTAGAAAAAGGGTTGTGCTAGAGAAAAACATCCAATACTCAGGAAAGAAGCCCTTCCTTATATCTCAACATTATATATGAAATAAATGGCGGCAGTTCTAATCGAATCCAGTTAAACTGGATTTCCAATTCCAGTGTTTTCCTTTTTCACACTAAGTAAAGCCATTTTAAAACAACCTATTTTTTCCTGTCAATACATAGAAATACCCTGTGATCATTTACAGTAGCTGTAAAGCAGGTTAAAAACATTATTTCTCTGGAGAGAGAAATATGTATATGTATATATATTTCTGGCATTTCCCACATGTGCTCCCTTTCACATGCCATTATTTTTGTTTACTTTAAGCAGTGAAAGAAGTGGCTGACTCAAAACTTCAATAGGCCTAATACCAAACTTACTACTTCCCCAGCATTGTAGATGCATTAACCTTATAACCCTGAAAGTTGCTCCAGAGAAACAATTACTGTTTTAGTCATTTTACAGATAGTAGAACAGATCCAGGAAACAATTTGCACAACATTATGTTTTATGGAGGTTTTTTTTAAAAACTTTAAGTCCCCAGATCCTCATCTTGGACCTATACTGCTTGATTCTTCTGCCAGTACTTCATTGAAGCAGACATTTCTGAGCTCACTGAACATAAACTATTTGAATCAATAACTGTTTGCTTACAAGTACTTAGGAAAACTGAGCAAAATTTTTATAGCCCTAGTGCCTCTTAACTCCTTAAATGCTACCTCCCATATTCAGATCAGAGTTGGAGAGATGATAAAGAGGGAAGAAATGAACCAAGAGTAGGGCTTACTGTCAGTGCAGTTCTGTTCGTCTTTTCCATTCTCGCAATCACTTACTCCATTGCAAGCTAGCAAGTTATCCTGCACAGCAAAGCTGGAGTTACAGCTCCAGTCAGGGACAGCTATAAAAACATAAAACCAATTAGTTAGAGAAGTGTGCTTGAAATACTAAAGCTGCCTGCCTGGCTATCTCTGGGTAAGCTTTCATTGCTCTGCTGCACTTCCCAAGGATAAGCATAAGTGCCATTCTATGAGTGGAAAAATTTAAGCGCAAGAGATTTCACAAACATACCCCTAGTCAACACAGTCCTAAGAAGAATGACCCAAGTTCTGTCCCTTTTCACCATGCACCTTCGCAATCACTCTCATATCAATCACTATCCACCACAGATTATTGTTGCCACACAAACTAAAATAACTCATCTCAAAAACAACACAGAACAATACATATTTATCAGCATTAACCTCAAGAGGAAAAAGCTTAAAATAGCCAGCTTTTGGCTGTTTTCCGTAATCTAAGCTCTCTTCCTCTTGTTTTTAGTTCCACATCTTTTTCATTCCAAGTTTTGTCCTTAATAGTTAACTTGCAAAAAAATCACCTTGTTTCAGCCGCCTTTTAAGACTAGAGAACACATTTATTGGGTTTTCCAATCTAGAAGTCTAATAAATGAATACAAACCACAGAAGAGTTCATCACTTTCATCAAAACAGTTGTTTATCCCATCACAACGCTGCACCTGCAAGATGCATAAGCCAGTAGAGCACTTGAAATATCCAGGTGGACATGCTGGAAGCAAAACGACAACAACTTAAAATTTCTTTTTCGCAAAATATTCGCAGTCACCAAACAATTGCAAGGAATGACAGAGATCAAACTTTTGTGTGGGTCAACCTAAATTTAGTTCAGGGAGTGAAAATTGGAATTAAATCTAAATAAAAGCCTGAACTTCAAATTAACCTGTTACTATAATGTCTTCAGGCTCTGCACTACAACTGGACCAGACTCATCAATTTTTATGGGGTGACACAGTTTAGAATATCACCTCCTCCCAAAGGAGGCTCTCCCTTTCAGTGGTCAGAGTAGTAGGAAGTTTTCAACAGAACTCAGACCTTACCAACTTCAATTAAAAACGCACACTGAGATGACTTACGAATTGCAGAAACATTTGTCCAAGTCATCAAGTTATCATCTTCTTGCATACTCCACACACATGTGTGCAATGTGTAGTGTTCTTATGTGATAAATACCTGTAAAACATTACTTCTCTACTACTTTACCAACTGGGGCATGCAAAATTAAAATGGGAGGGGGGATAGAAAGTACTTGACTGTTCAATTCAGAATTTGAGAAAAAACATCTACAAACTATGGGGTTTTATTTGCTATGTTTCTCAGTCCTGATCCGTAATTGCATGCGAAGAAGTCAAACCCATAGAAAAGCTAAGATAAACAGATGCTTATTCAGCCCTCTATTCATTATCTGGAGCTGCTCGTGAGAGCAGACGTATCACAAAACAAAAAACCTTGGGGATAAAACCAAAGAAAGAACAACAGGTATAAATGACTGACTCCACACCAGTTGAGACATTTCAGTGTGTGCCCTTGCATTATTCAAGGTTTAAACAGACAGGGAATTAATAACTATCAGAGCTACTGGTGCAGACAGAAGAAATCCGGGATTCAGGAAATCACCAGACTTACTGTGTATGCCCACTCCAGCTGCAGGCATCCTTCAGGACTGCAGAAGAGAGCAGTCTGCACGTGCACAGGAAACAAGACCACAGCGAGCCTGCACACAAGCCTTAGCTGCATAGCCATAAAGAACTAGAAAAGGCTGCTATTTTGCTAGTCACTTGGATTGGCAGGATTTGGAATAAAAACAGGCGAAAACAACAGAAAACACAAACAAACTCCCAAGCAAATAAACAAACAAAAACACCCAAATCACAGCATTTCCTCCATAAAAAGTCCTACTGAACCCAAGAAGTACTACTTCACAGGTCTGGCATGCAAAGATGGTTTGAAAACAAGATGAAACCCCTCTCACGCTGGCTGATGTTATAGCTGCCGTATTCTACCAGCAGCGGCTTCTCTGAGAGCTGGGAACTGCACCGAAGCTCAACGTGAGCAGCAGAGCTCGCGACATGGAAGACCGTTTCGTGATCGACATAGTAACCGCAGTACCTAAAAGGGAGAGGGAGAGTTTTAGAGCAGCCTTTGCACTCAAATAGCCCTACATGCAGTTTAAATAGCAGCACTGCTGAAATTCAGCCGGCGCACTTTTAAGAACCAAAATCTGAAGCAAAACCCAAATTCCAGAAAATGTAAGTTAGGATCCCCCATTCCTCAGTGCAATACCCACACACATTCAAGCAGAATGTTACAGCAGAAAGGCCAGCAGATCTGGGAGACAAGAAGAAATTCATTAAGACAAACATGGGTACTTGTGGCACCACTTTTGATACCTGTTTTCAAAAGACTTGATTTTTTTTTTCCGATATTAAGGGAATCACACAGACTGATAAAGGCATAAGGAAATTTAGTAGGACTTCTCCAAGTGGTCTGCACTGAGCAGGAAATATCACCAGGTTGGAGAGGAAATCTAGCTGCTCTGATCTCCAAAACTGCCTCTGAAGGAGAGGGCCTGGAACATTAGGATAAAATTGGTTTGATTCATTCAGACTTGTGGGAAAATATATTCAGAGAAACTGAAAATAGTTCCAAGTACTCATCCAGCCTTCATTCACCATTAATATTCTGGGGTTTTACTTTTCAAAGTCATGCCTTCAAATACCTAGGGTATATTAACATAAGGAAGAAAAAACAACAGCAAAAACACAGACACCCTTGGGTGCACATCTTCCCTGTATTTCAGCCCAGGTGCCACTTAACTCAAAGAGACCTAAATGCCCATCAATTCCAAAAAATGTTGCATTTATGTAGCCCCTTTAGTCGGACATGTCAAAGACACTCCAAAGGATTTGACATTTATACAGTCCTCTAATTAAAAAAAAAGAGACACTGTTTTAACGCAGTTAAACTTAATGTGGGCATAACATGGCCAATACGGTTGTTCTACAACTAGACTTGCCCACCTGCCCTCTTACCTCCCCAAAAAGAAACAAATAACTTCAGCACTGCTGAGAAAAATGGCTAGCTTTAAGATTCCTATCTAGCAAACTACTTATCAGTAAAGAGATTTACTGACAGAAGTATCTGCATTGACTCTTTTCACCGTCAACATATGCATTTGCTTGACAGGAGCATAATGTCAAATCCTGCTATTAAAATGAACTTGAAAAGCAAGAGAGGAATTATTCAATAGTTATATGAATTAATGGGATAGTATCTAGAGGCGAATACTTCTTTGGTTCATTTAGAAACACCCAAAGGGAACAGTTGAGAGCCAAGGGAAATCACAGCAATTGCACCAGGACTGCTTTTCATAGCAATGAATGTGGTAGGTAGTAGGGAAATTGGGCAATGATTTCTGTGTGCATGGATGCCTGGTGTCTGTGCACAACACTGCAGCACACTGTAG